ATAGATTCGCAACAAATGTTGTCATAATGCTGCTTCTGTTGGTGGTAGCGACGCATTATTTAATTTACTTTCATATGCTGATGTTGTGAAGCATTTAACTTATCGCGGATGATGTGGAAGAAATTTCGGTCTGTGACGTTTTGACAGGTACTAAATACAATGAACTTTCAACAGGTCCATCAAAAACAGCAAAGTGAAGGAGAATGCGCTAAATTTTGGAAGAGTGAATTGCATGTGGATTAGGTTCACTGGGATACTACGATAAAAAAAACGCGCCGCTTATTCTACCTCAAGGTGATGTGGAAATAAGTGTTTTGGACAAAATGTCTGTTGAACTACATTTTGTAGCGCTCGTACACTAAAACTATTGATTTTACGAAAAAAAAAATATTACATAAATTATAGGCAATTTTCTCAAGTTTCATTTTGTATATACATGTTTGTATTGTGAAAGAAACTGTTTTTAGGCACCATTTTTTTCAATATAGCGGCGCGATCGGTAAAGATACGAGGTGGCACAAAGTATAAATTCGGAAAGAGTAACCTTTCTAGCTAACCTTTTTTTTCGAACCAAATGACTGTATTGCAGTGCGAAGTTAGGGTAGGGAAAGCAAAAGCGATACTAGCGCAAGCTGCGGATAATTCGAACACTTCAGGGCGATATTTTGTAACTTTGGTGTATCAAATATACGTATACATTTTATTATTATTTTTTTAATAGTTAAAAGCAATACAATGAGCAACTGAAGTTGATGTGTTGTAAATTGTAAAAATACTAGCAAAAACACAGTGTAAGTTTTATAAAATTTTCAGTTACTATAACTGTAGTAAAGAAAGAATATGCTTTATTCCCTTATAGAGCATTATTTTTTTTCTGTAAATTTCAAGTTGATATCGTTTCTCTTTTTCGATTTGATATATGATTTTGTTTAATTTTAACCCCTCCGACCCCTCAATTTTGAATCAGATTTTCAATTTGGATCAATATTTTAAATTTATGTTTCTCGAAAGTAAACATAAAACTCATCACAGACTACTGTGTGAAGAATATAATAAACTAGATCAGAAAATTACTGTGCTTAAAAAAATCGTCAATAAAATCTGTGGTATAAAACTCCCTTAACTTAGTCTAAGACCCCCTTTGGTGTTGAAGTCAATGTAAATTGTGGTGCGATAAAATAAAAATGTGTTTTTTGCTTTTTTGTTTTATTAGTAAAATGAAATTTGCAAATTTATATATCATTGAGTAAATAATCGTAATGTGAAACATCACATATTTTACTTTTTCAAAAGTAATTTTATATATCCGAATTTCTGTGCCGTGGGGTAACCCACCTCCCTCCACATGTTAGACACAGATACAGATGGCCAAACATACTGAGCATAAACCTGCTGTGACCTGTCAAATTAACTGTCACTACAAACCATGTCGCCAACTTAAAAAAATACCTCTAAAAAAACACCCTTTAGGTACATCCGTACATTTTTTAAAAACATCTTTTTTCCAGGATCCCAAAAACGTAAAGACTTCGTGTTATCTCAAATTTGAATTTTGGAGTGATTGCAATAACCTTTTCATTTTTATGGGTTGGTGGAAAGGTTGAAACTGTACATAAAAGACATTCATATAATTTTAGAAAAAATCGCCGTGTTAAAATTACAGAAAATAGTTATTATTGGTTATGGTTTGAATACCAAATGTATTTTCGGTATTGTTAGAAAAAATACGAATTTAATGTTCCCTTATAATTATGACATATACAAAAATCGCTATAAAACTTTTATCTTATCTGCCTTATTATAGGGTATCCCAAAATTGCTGAGACAGAACTATAACATATTGTAGAGGTCAAATGTTGCTTTAAAGAATCACATTTTTTAGTCCAGTCATTTAAGCTTAAATTAGGTAAGAATCTCGGAACTGGAGATACCCAGCTGTAAGTCTGTAAATACTTGTATATTGACACGCTAAAAGTTATCTCAAAACCTACATATGGCAGGGTGTACGCAACTATTAAATTTCAAGGTCAAATGTCACAAAAATCGTTTTTTTTTGCGCTTTTTTGTAAATATCTCATTTTTTATGGGTTTTTTGCTATTTGTAATTATTATCAATATTGTAGAATACAAAATTCTCTACAAATTTTGTTTAAAAAAATTCAGATTATAGTAAGAACGTAAAAGCTATGGAGCAGCAGAGAAGATGAAACAATAGTTGTACCAGTTACTCAAGAAAAATTCTTATCAAATCGAAATAACAAAGATATGCTCATTAATATGTTAATTGAAAAATTACAAGCTGCAAATATTACTACTAAACAAGCCAGAGATAATGCTGATGTTCTTATTGTTGAAACTGCAATTGAAGAATCAAATTTTGAAAAAACTGCAGTTATAATAGGACAAGATATTGATTTACTTGTCATTTTAATTGGGCGTACACTGTCTTACGAACAAGACATTTTCTTTAAAAAAGTTGGGAAAGGAAATGTAAAAACGGGGATATACTTGACTAAAAGTTTTGATAATTATCCTCATTCCAAAACACATATTTTATTTTTGCACGCATTAAGTGGCTGTGACACAACTTCTGCGATTTTTAAAAAGGGAAAAAATCATTTTTTAAAGTTTTTGAGAAACTGACAAATTTGAATGAACTAGCTGCAGCATTTGAGAAAGAAAATTGTTCGGCCCAGAGATTATTAGAGAGTGGAACTCAAATCTTATTGGCAGTCTATAATGCTCCGAAATCTGTGAAAAGTCTCGATCATCTTCGTTATATGCATTACGTCAAGTCTACAAAACTTAATTAACCTGTGCAGCTTTCAAATATTCCACCAACAAAAGCAGCTGCTCATCAACCTTTCAAACGTGTATATTATTAAGTTCAAACTTGGTTAAGGCATGATTTGGAACCCCAGGTATGGAGTTGGGCAATGCGAAACGATTTTCTGGAGCCTATCATGACAATTTTACCACCTGCTCCAGAAGATTTGCTAAATACAATTTTCTGCAACTGCAAGAGTGGTTGTGGTTCGCGAAGCGGATGCAGGAAAGCGGGCTTGCAATGCTCTTTAGTTTGTGGCCAATGTAATGGGCAAGCTTGTCTCAATGCTCTTTCATATCAGAGCGACATTAGCGAAGATGGAACCTTTGACCCCGAAATCATGGAAGAACTTGAGAGAAATGTCGTTGAAGACGATAATGAAGACCAGTTTGAAATTTACCAGCAGCCGGAAGACGACGATGAAGAGGAAGAAGATTATTAAAATTATAAATTGTAGTTTTTGTACCTTTTATTCCATTTTTTTACTTTTAATAAAAATAAATGTATTGAATGAAATTTGTTAATAAAAAGATTAATTCATTATTTGTTGTTTTTTTTCAACATGTAAGAATTTATTAATATTAATTAGGTTAAAATTCAAATATAATTCCTATATTTTCATTAACAATTTTGCAATTACATGGGCAGGTAAGTGTTGTTAAATAAATTAATACTAAATAAAAAGTGGATAGGTTAGGAAAAAAAAAATGATAAAATATAATATAATAGTTAATAAAAATTGACAAATATTTATAATCATTGATTTATCGATATTTCATCAACTATATATGGCGCGTTTTCGACCGGAGGCACCGGTTGACCTGAAGTGATGCTGTGACCGCGCGCTCTCCGTCATCTATCTCGAAAACGGTTCACCGTATGAAAAATTTTTTTAAACAAAATTTTTAGAGAATTTTGTATTCTACAATATTGATAATAAATACAAATAGCAAAAAACCCATAGGAAATGAGATATTTACAAAAATAGCGCAAAAAACCGATTTTTGTGACCTTTGACCTTGAAATTTAATAGATGCGTACACCCTACCATATGTAGGTTTTGAGACAACTTTTAGGGTGTCAATATACAAGTATTTACTGACTCACAGCTGGGTATCTCGAATTCCGAGGTGAACTTACTATAATGATTGGACACGTTGTTCAAATAGGCGAAAAACTATTTTAATTAAATTTGACAAAATTATCTACATTTTAGAGGATTACTCTACTGTGAGTAACCATAGAAATCTAGTGAAAATTGTAGATAGGTTAAAACCACCATATATTTTTTTTTTCAATTTTCTTAAAAGTAGAACTACGGTTCTAAGATATTTTTAACAAGAAAGCTCACTTATCATCTTTATTTTTTTATTTCTTGTAAAAACCCATCCTTCTATAAAATGAGGTAAGGGTGGCTTTAAGGAGAATTGAGAAAGCTATAATTTAAGTAGAGAAATGTGTGTGCCACCGAGTATCGGAATCTGAAGATTTTAAATCTACAAATTAGGCTATCGTAGGTATGTGTTTCGGTGGTTCAATTTGTAGAAGCGCCGACATCTTAAATCTCTCATATTTTCTTTTCTTTATTTCACAGCTTCTCAATTTTTTTTTAATTTGTTTTTACTTTGAGAGATGTACAGATACTTTTCTTAATTTGACAGGAGAAATTTAGAATTATATTTTCAAATTTCCAGAAATTACATACACTTTATTCTCGTCGAAGAATACTCACAACTTTAGTGACATACACCTTTTCCCTTACGTTTGTTGTAAATCCTACTTGTGTGCATTATCCCTATTAGGAGATTCATATCTTCCTATATCTCTTTTTTAAATATAAATATTTTTTTATTTGATATCAATTTAAATTTTATTTAGTTATGCAATTATATTACTTACATTTTTCACAATCTTCCAATATGCCTGATGTTAGCGTTTAATGGTATCAACTCATTTTCCTTCACTAAATGTGTTTGTTTCTTTACTAAGGTTTGTAACACTTGAATTTTGATTTTTTTAAAGCTATTAACTATTATTCGTACCTTTTAAATCCGTTGATGACCCTTGGGTCGAAACCGCTAGCAGTTTCGTAGTTTATTATTAAAGTTTATGTGATACAGATTTTGAGTATTATTTTGAATTTTAAGAATTTTATTCTTGGATAACATTTTAGTGACAACCAATACGTTTTAAAGAATGGAGGATTTATTTTTTCAATGCCTCGAGTTCTTGTTTCTGGAAAGAACCACTCTGTATGCCTATCACTTCACGATATATCAGTTCCTGCTAAAAGCGTTATTGAAGTAAAACAAAAGGATCGACATACTTATTTGACCAAATCCATGGATTCAGGTAATGTACTAGTATTATGAAATTTATTAAAATATATTAGTTTCTCAAGTCAGTTTTTTATTCTGTTCCAAAGAAAATCAACTCTTCATTAACACCTTGAACAGTTTTGTAGTACTACGCTTTTAACTTTTATTTTTTTTTTAATAAACAATAACAAGTAAATCTTAAAGCCATGTGTCAATTATTTTTACAATTTGCACTTAAAAAATAATATTTGTGGTCAGAACATATTTAAATTTAAAAATTGACGTGTTCGAGCGATTTTGCTTAAAATTTACAAGTGTCTATAATTCAGTTTTCCACTCAATCACCAGTGCAATACATTAAAACGCATTTTTTTTAAACAAATGACTACGTTTCATTTTAACTATTTTGTTTTAGAACACAGTTGTTTCGAAATATTCGTTCCAAAAACAAGCGTCCAAGAGCCCCATTTAATTAACGTAAAGGTGCAAGTTCAATCCAAAGGTTCTTTGTATTCTGCACACAATTTAGATCCAATTCTAGTTTATGCGAATAAATGGACCAAAACATTCATAGATACTGACAGAGGAATTTATAAGCCAGGAGATAAAATTAGATTTAGAATTTTGGTCGTGGATGAAAAATTTATGCCCGTTAATAGTAAGGTTTGTATTTATTCTATGCTCACCAGTAATGCATTTAATATACAGTATGGTTCAAATGAAAGGAATAAATTCATTATAATGGAAGTAGTTGGTTTTTCGAAAAAATGCTCGGACAGGTCAATTTTTTTTACTCAAAGCGCAATTTTTTAAATAGAATTCAATTTTCCCCCACTTCCCGGTTTTGGGCAGTGACGTCATTGACAATTTTTTTAAATAGTAATCCCAATTTTTTTTTCTTGATTTTGAAAGATCTTGCAATTTCCTACTCGGAAACATAATATTTGAAATATCTGACAAAATTTTTTTTGAATAAAAGTCATTTAAAGATCATACACATCTGAATTAGGGCGTGGTTCAAAGCCCACTTTTATTTATTAATATTTTCAAAATGTTAATAAAATTATGATTTAGCAAGTTGTAAATATCCCGAAATATATAATTTTGGGAGTGAGGATGACCAGGAACTTGTTGGATACGTTGTGGACAGTAGGTAGACTTTTTCATAATTATAATGTATATAAAATATATAAAAAAAACCTTCAGTTTTTTTACTTTGGCCTTCTGCGTTCTTCTTTCTTCATATCAAATATTGTATTCTAGATTCAAATTTCAATATATCTTCCACAGTCACCCTCTAATTGTAAATTTCTTTAAATTTTAACTAATTTATTCACCTTTTTTCAATTTTGTGAATAGTGAGGGTGGCATGATTCCTTAATTCCACACAAGCTAACTTGCTTCTGGAGATCAGATTTGATTTGTAAGGGCTTATCCCACACTCACTATTCCCAATACCAGTTTTTTGTCACTTTGTTTGTTTCTTGTAATTTTTAATTTGTTCAAACAATTGTATATATACTATTTTAACTTTTGACTTAAAAGTCTAATTCAGATTTTATAATATATTTTTTTAAATCTTTTTAAATTGTAAGTTTACATCCACAATTTTTGTAGATGAGCACTGATGATGGCAAATAAGCCGAAAGCGCTTTGCATTGATTAATAAAAAAGTTTTGCACGAAATACAAGTTTTTCCTTTTGAATCTAAACTACGTGCACACAGCTGTCAACCTTTTTTGGTTATTTTAATAAACAGGATATGTCTATGGTCGGAAAGTGACGCTTCTTGTGAGACGTGCCACTTCTCCACCAATGAACATGCCTGTTGTGTATTGTTGTCTCATCAAATTGATATTAAAATATTTTCGAGATTTAGATTCAAAAAAAAAATAGCTGACTATTATCAAGGTCTTGGTATATTACCCTTGATTACAATTGCAGTATTATGTATTTAATATTACTTCTAGATTCCAAAAATTGCAATAAAAAATCCTCTTGAAATAGCAGTTGCTGTGTGGGAAGATGTAATTTTAGAAAATGGTCTAGCTAGTTTAGAGTATGAAATGGTACACGAATCTCTAGTGGTGAGTCTTAAATTAAGTATTATTTTATACATTTTTTTAACAATTTTAATAAAGATTAAAATCAACTACTAGGTTAATATAACAGTAATTTTAATCAGTCAATGATCCAAATGTAAAAATTTTAAATGTTTATGAATAAATGTATTTATTGTAATAAAATATTAAAATATTTCCATTTTTTAAGGGAAAATGGAAGCTTGAAACACGTGAAGAGTCAAAAATATTTGAGGTTTCCAAGTATGTGTTACCTCGATTTAAGGCCAGTTTAAAAGCACCTGAAAGGATTTTCTTCAAAATCAAAAAGTTTCCAATTAAAGTGTGTGCCCAGTATTCACATGGACGACATGTGAAAGGACTTGCTTTTATAAAAGTTACTGATTCTCATGGTAACATGAAATCATTTAATAGACTAAAAGAGGTAAGTACATTTTTACAGTGTTGTGTGAACTAAAAATTATAAAGATTACAAAATAGTATATTATACACCAAGAGACTGAAGTGGCCCTTTTTATCCCGAGGTGAAAAGTTTGTAGCCCGACCGGAGGAAGGGCTACAATTCGTCCAGAAACTAAGTGTCTAGTTATATAGAACAAGGCGAAATAATAACCAAAATGGCAGTTTTTAAACGAAATAAATTCCATTTCTTAAATGTGACCAATTTAAAAATAAAAAACAATGGAAAAAGTAAAAAGTCCAAGTCCGTATCAAGCCTACGTGGCTTGTACTTGAGTTTTACTCTCAATAAAAACGAAACCGCCTTCCTTAGGAAGCAAAATTAAAGTTGGAGTATTGAAAATTATTTTTTCTACACCCACATGGATATTAGCTTATCTACGCACAGATTACAAAACTGAACGAATGTATTCCATATCCATTCTAGGTAGTGAGAACACTGCAAAAAATAAAACCCACCGATCACCATTCATATTTTGATCAAACGACTGCTATTATTTATAAAATTTTAAATAAGTGACAATTCTGTTAAACTAATTGTCTTAATTACCTAAACTATTTTTTTATTTGTCCACATCGCACTTTGAAGATTGAGCACTCCTCCTACGGCGTCGTGCTCAAATTTCGTCTTCATGCGATATAGCCATCATATCCACTCTTGTTGCACAAACTACTATTCTATCTCTGGTATTTACCTTTGGATATAATACAATGCCTGTAGCGGTATTAGCCAAAAATGTAGTTGTTTCCAAGAGATAAATGGTCGTTCGTTGTGTCTATGGATCGGTTTTAAGTTTTTCCTTTTTTTCTTTGTTGTTTACGATTTATTGGGGTCAATTCTGTAACAATTCCTTTATATTTAACGGCCTTTAAAAATATTTTCTTCTTTACTTCTGTCATTATTTAAACGGATCTTTAAAATACATTAGAGGACTATCTTAAAGAAATCTGTTTAAATAATGACAGAAGTAAATTAACGAATACGAACATATTTTTATAGGCCGCCAATATTTTTAAAGGCCGTTAAATATAAAGGAATTGTTACAGAATAGACCCCATTAAATCTTATGTTTGATTTTTTAATGAGTGGCCTACTTTAGAATCACTATATCTTTATTTTATTAAAAAAATCACCATGCCTTCGTAAACCACTATATTGACTTTCGCAAACAATTTGCTTTCAGATGGAAAATGGTTGTGGAGAATTCATTCTAACGTCCGAAGATTTATCCCTAATAAGAAAGTTGTCAAGTACGGAAAACAAAATGTACCTACACATTACAGCGACGGCAACTGAAAAAGGCACAAACAAAATTGAAATTGTGTTTGGAAAGATCGCTGTCGATTTTGAACCTTATATCATGAAGTTTTCCAGCGAAGGAATGTTTCAACCAGGTAAAAACAAATTTTTTATTTAAAAAATGAAAGTACGTATTAAAACAAATTATTATTGTGCAAAAAAAAATATTTTGAAAAAAAAAGTAATTAATAATAATAATAATAATACTCTCCCTTATTCACCCGCTTACGAGTGAATTTTAACCCCAAAAGCTGAGCTTGTGCGGGGAAAGGGACGGCTATTATTATTATTATTATTATTATTATTATTATTATTTGCCGTGGCAGAATGAAGTAATTCATTCTGAAAATGTCCATTAAATTACCCGTTTGCCACTGATATTGGCATAGGTCAGGTACAAATCTAGGTTGTCACCTTTAACCTAGTAATAATCGGGCAGTTAAAAACTACGGTTGTACGGGTTGTTGTCAAATGTTGTTTACAAACATGCGTGTTTCGTTGTTTTTTAGTAGTGTTCTGTTACACTTCCATAATTTATTGTATTCGACTTTTGGAAAAAATGCTCGCCAAGCATAGATGCTTTTTAAAAAATAATTTCAACATTGTACACTTTTCGACTGTCGAACGTTTATAATGATGGTCCAGCATTGACGTTTTACGTATAATTTATTTATTTATTTAATACAATGCTTTACAGGCAATCCCAATTACAGGGCAGGAATAAAAGAACACATACATTATGTAGACTAAGTGGAACAAAATATACAAAAATTTGTAATCATCTAGTAGGTAAAATACAATACAATACAATGCAATGCTATTTTTTTTTAAGTTAGGAAATGATATTTTATTTCTCACTATTCACAACGCGGCTAATAGTATGTAAATTGAGAATTTTTCAGAACATTTGTGCGAGATACAAATATATGAAATATGTCAGAATTTCTAGAGAATACTCTCGGAATGCAGATATTATTTGTTCTCAACAATTCAGGAGAATCAATTAAACCGTTAACAATTTTGAAACCTAACATATAACAATGCTAATCACGTCTTTTTATGAGGCTTAAAAAGTGATATATTTTAAGAAGATTTTGGTGTTGTACTCCGATTGGCGGATAAACACCAGTAATTTTAGAAATCGCCTTTAAATTGCTTCAATTCGATTTGTGTGAAGTTGGTAAAACAGATTCTAGACGACAGACGCATACTCAAGCTTTGATCTTATAAGAGAGTCATATAACGTTTTTAATGTGGCTACATCTTGGAAATCCCTGAGTTATAAAACCATACATACGATACGATGTTTTAATCATTTTATTAATGTGACAAATAAAGGTCAATCCGAGATCAAAAATTACCCCAAGTATGTGGTCGCTGAAGTGAGACATTATTTAAAAAATAAATATATTTATTTGGTCGGTTTTTAATTAAAAGACATAACTTCACATTTAAGTGGGTTATGTTAAAGTTTATTATTATTACACCATACAACCATTAGATTTAAGTTCATATGAAGTTGTTCACAGTCGCCAATACTTGTCACACACTTGTATAATTTTAAATCATCTGCATACAGTCGAAAATATTAAATAGTAACGGGTCCAGATTGAAACCCTAAGGAACTCCAGATGTTGTTGCAAATTTGACAGACTTAAACCCATTAAGCTATACAAACTGAGTACGATTTACTAAATATCCCTGAAAGAGATTTATCAAAAGGGAGGACAACCCCAACGCTGTAAGTTTTCCAAGAAGAATAGCGTCAAATAACTTGGAGAAATCTGTGTAGATGACATCCGTCTGGTCGCGCTCATCAATAGATTCAGCAATGTATTGTGTGACACTAACCAGGTTAGTGATTGTTGAGCGACCTTTCATAAACCCATGTCGATTGACTAATAGCATTTTACTAACATAATGATATAAGATCTTCTTAAATAAAATTTTAAATAGTTTGGATAAATTGCATATTATAGATAATGGTCTGAAATTGGTTATATCTGTTTTATCCCCTTTTTGAAAACTGGACATATTTTTGAGATCTTCCAAATATCTGGAACTGTTGATGTCTTGGTGCATAGAATAACTCGTTTATTTTCAATTTTACGAGAAAAATTGTTAAAAACAAAGTTGTTTAAAATTAAATTTCCTACAATTCTGTTTTTTTTTGTACGCTCGATTTTTTTGTATTTATCCCTGAGAAGAGTGGGGGTAAACTCTTATCATTGTATTATCACGTACTCACGTATTATCATTGTACTGAAAAGAAAATAAATTTCATTTTTTTAATTGTAAAAATTATACTGTTCGATAAACTGATTATTTTTAGGGGCTCAAACACCCTTTGTAGGACCTGAGCCGTTCTGCGGTATCAGCAGTAACATAATATTAGAACAGATTAAAAAAGAATTGGGTAGGAGAAGAACCGATAATTGGAACAAACTCTTGGGGCTGAGACAGGCCAAGATACTTCTGGGTGAATATAACCAAAAAAGATCGGAAGCCTGCATCTGCCTGAGCAAGAACAGGCTACGTATTGTAACAGGGATCCTTATCGGGCACTGCCGACTAAAAGGACACCTAAGTAAACTGAGAGTAGTAGAGGATAGTGAGTGCAGATTCTGTGAGGAGGAGGACGAAACCTCCATTCACATCCTAACTGAATGTGTAGCACTCCAGAATCCAAGGGCACTATATCTAGGAGGATATCAAATAGAAAAGGGAGACTTACCTAACTTGAATCCACTTTAAATCCTACACTTCCTTGAGAAAATAGGATTGGAAGGGTCGCTATAGGCATTGAGACATTTCCTTAGTGCAGAAGGGGGCACAATAGATCTTTTAGGTCGCAGTGTATTAACACCCCATTATCAACATAACATAACATAACTGATTATTTACACCCCACTTTTCCTTTACCGTAAACGTGCGACCCAACAATATAAACTTTAGAAAAAATCGGAATCATAATTGTACCAAATAACATTTTTGAAAATCAGCAAAAAAAAAACAAACAGAAAAAATAATGGTACAACATCAATAATAAACGTGACAATACAATACTTAGGTTCACCCCCACTCTTCTCAGGGATAAATACAAAAAAATCGATCGTACAAAAAAAACAGAATTGTAGGAAATTTAATTTTAAACAACTTTGTTTATAACAATTTTTCTCGTAAAATTGAAAATAGACGAGTTATTCTATAACCAAAAATTCACCCCCTCTTTTCGGGTATAAATCGAAAAAAATCGATCGTACAAAAAAAAGCAGAATTGTAGGAAATTTAATTTTAAATAACTTTTGTAAAAACTATTTTCCGTGTAAAATTGAAAATAAATGAGTTATTCAAGATACAAAAAATAACCCTTTAAATCAAGATGGCGGAGGTAACGACAACTTTGGAATCCCAACTTTTTGAATTTAGACTACGAGAGACCCCCTCCAACGAATTCCGAAGGAAAATTGCTGCTTCGAATTTTTCAGAATCTAAAATACTAATCCGATTGGGCTACCAGTAGTTAAGTAACATTTGGCTCAGTGAGACTTTTTTATCCTCGAAGAAGGTTAACTAAAACGAGTACTAGAGAATGATGATGGTTTTGAAAACAGAAGACAGTTGGTCATTCCAAATTTCTTCGTCAGTTACACGACAGTCCATCAGGAGGACAACTCGGCGTTAAGAGGTGTATACACACTGAGTAGTAGAAGAAAATAAAAAATCTGATGTGTCCAACACATGACTTTCCTATCTAGTTATTATAGGCTTTTTCCGGTTATTTTGTATAACCTATTGCAGCATCTCTATAAATGTTTAGAGGATAAACTAAATATATACATTGTCCACATACATCTACCTCGAAACATTTTTCTATAGATATTCATTGAAAACGAAAATACTGAAAAATTTAAATTTCCTACAATTTTTTCATTATGGTCCATTTTAGAAAAATCATGTATAAACAAACATTATAGAGATCGATATCGCAAACAACTTTTAGTTCAACAATTTTCATAAAAAACAGAATTTTGCACATTTTGTCAAATTTCTCGAATACGGACCATTTCAGGAAATTTTGACATAAAACAAAAATTATAGATAATAATATTAGAAGTAACTTTTATTTCAACAATTTTCTTCTCCAAACATAAATTACAGATATATTCCATAAAATATAAAAACGGCCTCCCATAAAGTACCCCCCAGATGTTCCGACTTTGTCCAAAATCTAATCATTTCACGTCAGGCCAAAATAAACATTAAGTTTAAAATTTAATGTTTTTTTCTTTATCCGTTTTTGAGTTTTCTTCAAAATTCGAAATTTACACATTTTGTCAAATATCTCGAATACGGTCTATTTTAGAGAAATTATGTATAGAATAAAAATTATAGAGAATTATATTACAAATAACTTTTATTTGATCAATTTTTATAAAAAAATATTTTTTTTTACATTTTGTCAAATTTCTCGAATACGGACCATTTTAGGAAAATTTTGTATAGAACAAAAATTATAGATAATTATATTGGAAGTAACTTTTATTTGAAAAATTTTCTTCTCCAAACGTAAATAACAGATATATTTCATAAAATATAAAAATTACCATCTATAAAGTACCCCCCCAGATGTTCCGACTCGCCCAAAATCTAATCAGTTTATTAGACGCTGGAATAAAGCTTAAGTTTAAAATTTGATGTTTTTCTGTGTATCGGTTCATGAGTTATGCGACCTATAGACACACACACACACACACACACACACACACACACACACACACACACACACACACACACACACACACACACATACACACACACACACACACACACACACACACACACACACATCATCGCGAAAATAGTCAAAACGGATTCAGGGGACCTCAAAACGTAAAAATCCGTCGAAAACTCGAGGTCGAAAAAAATCATGATTCCTATACTTTCCTTATATCTGTATACAGATAGGAAAGTAAAAATGAAAAAATTGTATTTGAAGCGTGAGGGGAAATTTTTTAAACAATTTCACTTTATTTTAAAAACTTAAGTCTTAATCGGCGAAAGCGCCTGACTAATTTTTTAAAATAAAGTGAAATTGTTTAAACAATTTCTCCTATACACACTTTAAATACAAACTCTTTCATTTTCTCCTATTTAATGATATGCTTACTAGCATGGGCGCCATTCAAAAAATTTCTAGGGGGCAATTCTTATAGGCAGGGTCAAAACGCCGCAGACTATTTATAGTTGAAAGCCATGGAGAAAGAATCCAAAATCACAAAACCTGGGTGTGGCAGACGCCCCCTTGCTTTCGTGTGGCAGCACCAACGCTTACTAATTACGAGATCAATACAGGAGTACCTTAAATTCTATTACTATAATATTTTAATTCCAACCTTACCCATACCTTTACAAATGACAAAGTACTTCATTTTTTAACATGGACCAATAGAAAAAACCTAATCTCGAATAAATTTATGGCACTTTAGAATAAGCAAAACTTGAATACATTTAAACACAGCATTTTTCAATATAAATATACAATAATTATATTTCCCGATCAATAGTATTTATTTTTATTTTGGGTTGACTGAGACAACAATTTATTTTTAATATTTTCTCTTCCACCAGGTCTACCTTACAACGGAAAATTGACGTTTAACAATTTAAACGTTAATTTATCTCAAGAAGTTATTCAGATATGCTACAACATTGCAATTAAGAAAAGTTGGAACTATGTCAACGACGAACAATGTTCAAACTTTACTCTTAATGATGGTAACGAATTGAATTTTCAAGTTTTACCGATGACACGAAATGTTATTCATATTAACTTTTATGTAAGTATTTTGAAGAGCACTCTCTATAATTACAAGAATAGCTTTACGTACAAATAATAATTCTAACTTCGTTAAATTTATTAATTAAGAAAAAAATGTCATAGTTATACAAGGTAAGTCAAAAAAGAATACAAATATTTTAGGAGGTGATAGAACAATGAAAATTAAGATCAGTTTGTTATATAAAATATTGTCCGAAACTTTGAAATGAGGTAGGGTTGACAACTTTTAACATTAAAATAGAGGACACAGTGGCGGATCAATTAAGAATTTTCACACATTGGTGGCGCAAGCAACATTTTTGCAAGGGCGAAACTATTTTCAATAATAAAGAAAAAAAGATTAAAATAAAACAAGCGATTTTTTATAAAACTTTTTTACAAAAAAAAATATATATAAAACACACCTACCTATTGCTTTCAAATATATTTTTTCTGGCTCTTCGCCGCTTCTAAGATTTTTTTATTTTTTTTTAACCTTTGTAAATATCACCGTAGTTATATTTTAAATTAGAGCAGCTTTTCTTGTTTCTAATATTAATCATAGAGAACAATTTAAACTACCTATGCTTCCTCAATTTTTACAGCTGAAGCTTTGGTCATTCAAAAAGCTCTTCTGTGGTGTAAGTTAAGTAAATTTCAAGCGTTCGTTATTATGTCTGATTCAAAGTCGGTCTTACAGGCTATCCAAGGCTCTCCAATAAAGTTTTATCGATAAAAACTGGTATTTAAAATTAAAAAATTATTATATAATCTGAGGACAAAAATATTAACTTTATTTTGGTTAAAGGACACTGTGCCTTACTGGAAATGAAATTGTAGACCAAGAAGCTAAAGATGCCTGTAAGATTGGTGTATATATACCAAAGTCTCGTCATTGCCTGATATCATCAATGCATACAAGATAAACATAAGAAACAGATGGATAAGCCAATACCATGACGTTTCTAAAAATACGTCGGTTAGAGACGCCAATCACCTTTTCTTTGAATGTCAAAATTATACATTACAAACATCTGAGCATATCTTAGATAATATAATAGCAGATAGGCTACCACTGCATAAAGTTATACAATATTAATGTCGCTATCATATAATCAGTATCTCTCTTTCTAATGAAGGCTTTCTCACTCGTTTTAGTGAGTAGCGTACCGTAAAACAATTTCGCTGGGTCATTTTAAATGCGAAAATGTTGACCAAGTAGAACATAAAATAAAATGTTTTAAAAGGTAGGTAGGTGCATTTTTAATGGAGTGAAAACAAAATATGACTTTTTTGTTATGAATATAATATTAATAACAATTACTTTTAACACCACAACACGAACAAATTTAAATTAAATACTGGAATAATTGTCTGAGAAAAGCTTTGTAAAACTGACAAATACAAACAAAGAGATAGAGATATTAATCTATTTCTCTCTAATTAGAATTCTCGACCATATTATCATGGCGACACGAACATTGTTTACTGTCCTTTCTGTACTACTTACTTACTCTGAGGGCTATATAAATCTATAATCTCTCTCAATTTTTCTCTGTCATTAAATTTGACATCCCTTCTGACAAGCACCAATAAACATATTCTCGATATTTTAATTAAAATTATACGCGATACTAAACTAGATATTTAAGACACTACTTCTCTTATTCCTTTCTTTTCTGTTTTCTGTTTTTATTATTTAAAAATTCTGTGGCAAATGGACAGCGTCTGAAGCCATATCTCTCTCACTCACACACATATTTTAAATTAAAGTATATTAAGAGCTCACTATTAATTAAATTAACTGAGCATCGTTTTCAATCATCACGCCATTTTATATGCATTAACTAAAAAAACCTTTTCAGCAAAGGCGCTTGATATAAGGATACTAAATAAACAAGAAATTAGTTTTAACATGTTACAACACTTATTCGATTTAATTAAATTAATTTAATACAATTTCTTGTGCAATTTAAATTTTACATGAAATTGTATTAAAAATTGTACAAGAAATTGTGTAGTCTAAAGCAGTCTTTAGAAATGTCCAAGAGTTTAATTATATCATCCCCTTTTAGCTCTAATGTCAATGTTTACACATTGTTTTTCTTTGCTACAATTTCTTGTATTTTATCTGGTAGGACTACTTCTTTATGAGGTTTAATGTGCCTTAAAACTGTTCAGGCATCTCTGGCAGCAATGATGTCTTTTGTCATTTTATTCATGGTGATGGCATTAACACGTTTTTGAAGTCGGTTTTTTTAAATTTATAATACTCATTTAACAAAAAACGAAGGCCTAAATTAATCCTTTATATAATTTTTGCTTATGTGTTGACAAGGTAACAGAGTAAACACCATATTTTTTGCTTTTCAATTAACAATGATATAACAATAAACGATGAGAGATGTCATAGGTTTACGCTGTAATTCTCACCGCCAATTTCATCGACTCTCAGTGTATCTTTCTCTTTACCTTCAAACGTAGCATAGCTCTGTTTCTCTCTACGTGCCGGCTGATGTATCACATTATTGATATGGTAGGATTTTTTCATTTTTTTATTATAAAACTTCTCGTTATGTTCCAATGGGCAATGTGACTGTTTTTTACTAACGAATTAATAAGTGTATGTGTTATATAATAAATTACCTAATAAATTGGGAAGACATTTTTGCATCTTTATTATATCTACATTCATCCTGTTGCAGCTGAATATATTTGGGTAAGTTATAAGTTTTCGTTTAAAATTTTAATTACGGATTTGTTGTTGCAAGTAGCAAAGACAAAAAAGATATTAAAATAGGAAAGCCCAAAAGTTGCATATCATTTAAAGAATAAGCTAATATATTTGTAAACATTATTTTTAGAAATAAATTTAATGCTCAAATGATAAATATGGTATTTGATTATTATAAAGGACATTCTATCAAAAATACAACAAGTCAAAAGAGAGGACCCCTGAAATCAATTGATATAGAAATTGACCGACCCAATATTCCACTTCCGCAACAATAGAACTTGTTTATTCATTCAATATTTAACAAAAGACATTTAACAAATTTTCTGTAAGAGCAACTTCTTCAAAACTCCCTTCTGCAAAAGCATATTCAATTTGTAACTAGTGGTGAATTCGCGAATATTAATAAATATGGGAAGAATTTTGTACCATCAAAAGACGATTTCTTAAATTCAAATCACGAAGACGCTGATACTCGTATCATATTGCTCATATTGTTAACCAAATATTCGGGGCATTCACACTGCATTATTTATTGCAACGATACAGATGTTCCAGTCTTATTAATTTATTTTAAGAAGTTTTTGACTAAAGATATATGGTTCAGAACAGGGCGAGGAGACTCCAGATGATTTCTAGCAGTACATTATTTAAATTTGGATGAAAACCTTCTAAAAAATGTGCCTGCTTTTCATTCTCTGACCGGTTGTGATACAACCAGCCAATTGTCCTACATTGGGAAAAGAACCTGTTGGAAAACCTACCTTGAACACCATTACTTTTTGGATGAATTTGGCACTGATTAGTACTCTGAAAACATATTCTCTAATCTTGAAAAAATATTCACAAAAATTTATTCAAAAACTGCCAATGTTACTTCCATTAACATTTTAAGGGGATTAATGGCCTCTTCAAAACCCATCGCTAAATTGCCACCGACTGAAGACGCCCTAAGACTACATTGTTTAAGATGTTTTTACCAGCTAAATATTTGGCTAGACTATTTTAAGCCAGATGCAGCTTCATAATGTTAAAGAGTATGGATGGAAAGTAGATCAAAATGGAAGTCTGATACCCACTTTTAAGACTCTGCCCGTCCTGCCACCAGACATAACAGAACTTACATCATACAAATGCAAAAAAGATACTATACACCGATAATTTTCATAGATGTACAATATTCTAACAATAATATTTGCAAATGTAGGAAAAAAATATTTACTGTATCGGTTCTTGCACCTGTATGGCACAGAAAAACTGCAGAAATAGTTTGACCACAGCCGCTAATGTTTTGGAAAATGTTGATTCTTGTGATGAATCTGATTAGTTTGAAAATCTTGTACTTATAAATTTTAATATTATTAATTTATGCTTTATATACTTCCTTCCAATTATTATCATTATAATTTATTTATATTGGGAATTTATTGTATTTTGCAAAGCAGTAGCCTTACTGTTTATAATCGATACTTATATATACTGTATTTATACCTTCAATAAATAGTTTATATTTTCTTATTTTTATTTTCCTCCAAAAATAAAAAAAAACTTAAGTAATTAATACACCCTATTATTCATAATGGATAAATCAATAATCCCTGTATAAAATAATATAAAAGAGTCAAACTGATTGCATACATTTCAACACTGAGAGAGATGCATAGAGAGTCGAGAGGCTCTGCCTTCAATGTTTGCTTTCTAGTAAAACCATGACATCACTAATTGTTTATTGCTATATTTTTGTTAATTTGAAAGCAAAAAATATGGGGATGTATATTTTTAAAAGAAGATTTTTTTATACAAATTTGTAGATGGGCTAATGTAAATGATTTTTTTAAATAATTATAAAAAAATACTTTCTTTAAAGACCTAATTGAGCATTAGAACAAAAAATAAGAATTTTTTTTTCTATATGGTGGTATCAATAACTCGATTTTTATGATGATGCCCTTTTGCACAATCTAATTTTGTATTACCTCCGAAATAAGGGTTAGCTTATCATGTACTTTCATCCCTGAAAAATTCAGCTTGTGACATCGAAGTGGTAGGCAAAGTCAAAATAAGCTTTATTCTACACCATACTATATGCCTATTTCATTATTCTCGCTTTGTTATATTAAATTTAACTTAATTAGTTGTAATTTTTAATAAATTTTAAAACCTAGTGACGTTAGATTGCAAGTGGTAACAGGGCTTACACCGGCATGGAAATTTACGCTGTGTAGTATAAGCGCGCACAGTTATTCATTGATAAAAATAAGTTTTCTTTGCGTAAAATTCTTCTCACTATCGCTTCTCTTACTTCTCACCTTTCGTCGCCTCGCCCCGCATATAGAAATAGAATGTATCAATTATCGAATTATTGTTGGCATCGTGAATATTATATTTTATCAATGACTGCTTATATCTCTGTTATCTCTGGTCTAGTTCTAATAGTTCTAATTTCTAGGTAAACAGGATCGTGGTCAGAATTTAATTTTTTAATTGTAATGTTGTTTTGTACATCTGCAATATTATTCGTCAAAGCTATGTCCACCGTACTGGGCGTATTCCCATTAGAAGGGAAGTGAATTAATATATTTATATTTAAAAAACCTAAAAAATTCGGACCTACTTAAGGCGCCGCGCCGTCTTGTTTCCATTCTAATGTCACTTTAGTAGAACCACATTATTTTGAATATTTGTATGGTATGTCCTCTACTCTCCTCTCCCTACTACCTCGATGATTTTAACCATTTAGTACTGTCAACGGTGTTCAATTGAATTGTTATAAATTAATACTTAGAGTTTATTCATCAGTGATAATAGCTAAGAAATAAAACAAAAATTTTTTATATTCAAAGTGTGAAGGATGGAATGGATTATAGTAATATAATCTTATATTTTAGTTGGTCTAGAGAGCACGAATCGTATACTAGTTTAGGATCCTTAGGTCGAGAGTACAAGTAAGGGGTGAGAAGACAATAGCAGAAGATATATTACTGCCGTCATTGCTTTAATTAAATTAGTTTTACAATGTAAAATATTAATCAATCCCCGAAAAAAAAAAACTAAAGGAAAACCAAAAAAAAATGTTATTCCTCTACAAATAAAATTAAGAATTTCTTTATTTAAGACTAACTTTCCGACTAGCCACTATTTTCAAATACTTTATTCAATAATATTAGACTGTACATCGTAGTGAAAGTGATTATCTGCTGACCTTGAGATACTATAATATAGTATTTCTATAAATATATTTAATAATAATTTCTTTCCTTTTAAAAATTAATTTAATAAATAGTCGTCAATGATCTAACATGATTTTTTGAAAACAACCAAAATTAAAGTTTGATATTTTTTAATTATTTAGATTTTTAAAAATCCTAAACAAATAATTATAAAAAAATTATAACTACAATCTTAGGCGCTGATTTTACCCCCAATCAAACTGTATAATTTAAATATTACTAGAACCAAGGGAGAAAAATTGATAGCATTTTTTACATAGATAGAAAAACAGTCCACCTTAGGTAAAATACTCTAACTACAAGTTTTACACTAAAAAATTAATTTTTAGGCAAAAGCTCTAAATCGTTCTCACATAGAAGACAGTTTTTTAGCAGTAAGGCTATTTTCTCCTAGCAATAGTTACATTCAGATTGAACAAATTCACCAAAGAAAAGAAGCTAATGAATGTAGAGCTGCACAACAATTCAGAATTCATTTTACAACTGATATGTTTAAGGAAAATGAAAATGTCACATTCTATCATATGGTAAGTAATTAATAATAACAATTTTTTTTCTAGGGCTATAGTAATAAAAAAACTACATTTTCTCAACTATTTTGATTAAGAAATAAGGTACATTTTCTTGTTTGATAATACGCACAAAGTAATTATTTTTGCATCGCATCTGATAAAACAAAGTAGTCATTACCTAATTATTTTAATAAAATATTGTGTAACGTGAAATTTCAAACATTAATTACCTACCTAAAAGAGAACTGTCATTTTAATTCTGTATTATAAAACTAAATAAAAATGGCCAATAGCGAGTTATAGTATAGTGTTCAACTGGCAAAGAATTCTCATTAGAATTTTCTACTCGTTGGAAATAAGTACCATTTTTTGTTTGTTAAACAATATACTATTCTGTATTACTACTTCTACATTTTCTGTTTTTCGAATTTCCATAACTTCCAATCATTTTTGTTATATAATATTTTTATTTTTAGATTAAAAGTGTATCATATATAAAATTAAGAAAAATTCAATATAATACAAAGAAGATTATCCCAAATTATCTCCAAAATTTGAAAAACATCATAGGAGAAAAACATAAATACAGTAAACTGGGTGCATCGTCTGATAGCTTAATTATCAAATTTAAATTGGACAGAAAGATTGTATCCGTTTATCAATTTTTGGTATATTATGTTAATAAAAATGGTGAAACAATTGCAGCAAGCAAAGTAGTACCTGTTGAACCGTGCTTGATGAAGGTAAAAATATTTATTAAAAAATAATGTATTCTTGATCTATATTCATCGTATATTGAGGCTTTTGCAGAAATCCTGTATAAATATCTTCATTTAAACGGATTTCTAAATATTAATTTGAAATATTTGAATTGCATGAAATTTATATCATTACAATATACAGGGTCATTCTATATGGGCGGAACACTTGATTTATGGCTTAACTATGACTTGTACGATAATTTGACTTAGATAAAAGTTTTTGTACATTTTATGTACTATTTATTGACGTTTAAAGATTTCCCGCATACGTAATTATTTTCAAGATATGACGTCATCGGGCAATATTTTAAATGGATCACCCTGTATTTATATTTTTTTTTCGAGTTCGTATGATCTGTCTGATTTTATTAATGGTACATTAAGTGGGTCCCAGACTTACGGTCTTATCAATAACAATTAAATTAGATTATACTTTAATAAGACACATTTTAAATATTTTAAATGGATCACCCTGTATTTATATAATTTTTTTTTCTGTTTCCTGGCAATATCATGATCTATTAACAAAAAATCTTAACGTGAAATCACAGTAAATACAAATATCTTTAGTGTATTTGATTATTATTACTAACAATGGAACTAAGTGAACGTGAAAGAATTACACTGTTGATGATGGTTGGTTTTGGAGATAGAAAGAGAGGTTTACAAGAAGCTGTCGATTTGTTTAATGCTACATTTCCTGACAGAATGTCTCTAATTTCTAAGTCGACAGTGTATCGAAATTTGCGCAAATTTAACGAAACAGGTAGTGTCAAAAATATTCCTGGTAGTAGACGAAAGAGGAGAAATCACTTGATGTACTTCTAAATGTTCATGAAGAAGCTAACAACTTCCATAGCAAAACTTGCATTAAATAATGATATTAGCCAGATTTCTGTAAGAAGGATACTGATAAAAAATAATTTTCATCCGTATAAAGTTCAATTACATCAAGAATTAAATGAAGATGACCCTGATCGACGAATACAGTTTTGCCAAGAAATGATGAATCGAATTAATGGGAACAATATTATGAATAATACGACAAATCAACGATTTGTCTAAACGGATTTGTCAATCGGCATAATTGCCGGTATTGGTCTGATCAGAATCCACACTGGATGATAGAAGGTCACACACAACTTTAAATGGTGATCGCTATTTACAACTTTTGTGAGAACAAATAGTTTAAGAATTAATCCATATATTTCCCAATCGTGCTAATCATTTACAATTGTCAGAGGGAATATGGTTCCAGCAAGATGGCGCCCCACTTCATTTCGATGTTAGGGTTAGGGAATACCTCAACACAATATTTCCGCAGAGATGAATAGGCCGAAGAGGATATATTGAGTGGCCGGCAAGGTCACCAGATTTAACTCCACTGGATTGTTTCTTTGGGGTCACTTAAAATCTGTAGTTTATAAGGATCTACCTCAATCTCTGGAAGAACTGGAAGATCGAATCAGAGCGGCCACTCAAGAAATAACTCCTGAATCTATTCAAAACAGTTTAAGATCATTTGTTGATAGATTAGGATATTGCCAGGCAGCCGAGGGCGTTCAGTCTGAACATCTACTTTAAATAAATATGTCTTATTAAAGTATAATCCAATTTAATTGTTATTATAAAACTTTAAATAAATGTGTTGTAAGGGGTTTTCTCGCCGTTTTACTTACAAATGACGCCTGTTGACGGGACGGCTCTCGGGCGCCAGATTTTATGTGTGGTTTACTCCACAAACTTTCGAAACGGCGTCGAAAGTACTCGGGCAGCACATATGGAGATGAAAAATTCCAGAGGTCGTTGGTTACTCAGACACAGATAATAAGTAACCACAAGTAATGGGCTTTAATCGTGACTTGTGGTGATAAAGAATTTCTCACTGCTGAAATAAAGGGGGAAGTAAATTAGGGATCAGTAACCTCAGTAACAGTCAAGGTAACGTTGACACATATATTGAATTTTAACTATTTACAATAAATAATTTGTAACTAATATTTCAACGCCCACCCTCGCTCGTATTTTTAAAACCCTGAACAAAAAGAAAAACAAACAGATCGGCCAGTAGTGAACTTTGATTAGTCTCAATCAGACGGTATAATTAAAATTAAAAGAAAGATGTTCGGTGGCAATAGTAACTAATTAATAAATTGTCGGTTCGGTGGTTGAGCCAAAACGAAACCAAAAACAAAATTACTATTTTAGTTAAAGAAAAAAAATGGCAAATAATTGCGGTCGTAGCAAAAGTTAGCTAGTTAACTGTTAAATCGGCAAAAAGATTGAACTTAAATAATTTGTTTCGTAAAAGCATAAATAAAATCACGGTCGTAGAAAAAGTTATCTGGTTAACTATCTAGTCGGTATTGAAACTGAAACAAATCTCCTTGTGTTAGTGAATAGGGAATAGATAAATGATAAGAAAACGGGATAGTATCAATCCTATGAGGAGTGTACTCGCCAAAACCAGCCCGCTCAACATAAAAATGATACTATCATTTTAATCACGGCGCAGAGGTAACTAAAAAAATAATCAAAAACCGGGTTAGTATTCAATCCTATGATGAGTGTACTCGCCAAAACCAGCCCGCTCAAACATAAGACAAAATATTAAACCGGGTCAGTATTTATCCTATGATGAGTGTACTCGCCAAAACCAGCCCTGACAAACATAAGAAAAACACTAATATGTTAATCACGGCTAGGGGTTAATCTAAAAAAAAAAACTAAAACCGGGATAGTATCTAATCCCATGTGAGTTTTCTCGCCAAAACCAGTCCACTCAACATGAAAAATGATACTATTTCAACTTTCCAACTTTCGAACTAATTCTATTCCCAAGTAAAGAAACATAAATAATAAAAAAAAAGTTAAACCAGATTGTGAATAAATAGAAACAAAATTTATGGTCGTAGTAAAAGTTAAGTAATTTACTATATACGGAATTTAATTTAAATTTAAACTTATTATTACTTAAAAATAGAAACAACATCCACGGTCGCAATGAAAATTAAGTAATTAACTGTATACGGAATTTAATTTAAATTTAGGTTTACTATTACTCTAAAATAGAAACACAATCCACGGTCGCAATAAAAATTAAGTAATTAATAAAATAGAAACAAAATTTCTACTTCCTAATAACCAAAACTAATTTCCAATGTTTCTAAATAAAATCAAAACTAAATAATTTATCTGAAAATCAAAATATTTTTAACGAGAATCTAAAGTCAATTATTATTTCTATTAAATAAAATCGAAAACGGAATAATTTATTCAAATAAAACTGGTATTCGAACGTTTAGCTCAAGAACCGACGACAGAAAAAAAAACGTAAACATGAATTCGGTGTACCTAACTACGGTCTCTGCAATATTATTACGGCGTATAACGAAGCAGACTTAACGAGGTCGGGAAAATGGAATCAAGCTAGTCGAGATCAGTAAAGTGAATCAATGATTTTTAATACTCAAAATGCTGAATCCGAGTCTCTATACCCAAGCAGGCTAGCTCCCCACTCGATGTGCGCGGATCGCGCGCGCTATCGTTACTCAGGTATAATACGCGAATTTAAATGAAACAAAATTTGATATACAGGGTCTATACATGAAGTTAAAATAAAATAAAAATTAAAATTTATATCCGGAATAGGCCGAAATATAGTAATGAAAATTGACTTCATTACAGTGTCTTATTAAAGTATAATCTAATTTCATTGTTATTATAAGACCGTAGGTCTGGGACCCACTTAATGTACCATTGATGAATTCAGATAGATCATACGAACTCGAAACAAAATATAAATACAGGGTGATCCATTTAAAATATTGCCCGATGACGTCATATCTTTAAAACCATTACGTATGCGGGAAATCAATAAATAGTACATAAAATGTACAAAAACTTTTATCCAAGTCAAATTATCGTACAAGTCATAGTTAACCCATTAATTAAGTGTTCCGCCCATATAGAATGACCCTGTATGTGTGAGGATTGCGAGAATATATGACATAATCATTAGGATGTAATTTTTTATTGGCAGAAGTACTACTAGTTACTAGTAGGACAGATCCCAATTGTTAAACTTTTTTAATGTATTTATTTTAAGCTTAAACAGTAAAGTAAAATAAAATTTGAGATACCATTAGTTGTAAATTAGGCACGCTATTTTTGTCGCTATTTTGGTTTGGGCGATGAGTAGGGGGACAATTTTTTTAACAAAATCGGGGTCGCGCTTTGGTTAAATTTGGGAAACACTACCTTAAGGAGGTCCTTTCGCCACCAATGTTAAAAAATATTAGATTATGACTAAAATTAATTTTTTTCTAATAGTTGATCTCCTTATTTATCTAATAGTGAATTTTTAACTATACCTTAGCGTGCCAATTTTTGAGAATTTTTTTTTTTAAATGTGAGTATTTGTACAGTGTCTTATGAGAAAGTAAGACCTCAACTACAATTTTCGAATTATAATTAAGTATACTATTATTTATTGATTAAATGGAGTAGAAAACAAATAAAAATAAGGTTTTTGAAATATTTAGATTTTGTTTTTTAAAATAAAATATATAGGTTACCGTGGAATTTATTGAGAAATTAATATTAAAAAATCACAAAAAATTTTCAACTAGGTTACTTGAAATTTTTTTTTAATATTAAATTCTCAATAAATTCCACGGTAACCTATATATTTTATTGTAAAAAAAAACCTAAATATTTCAAAAACCCAATTTTTAGTTTTTTTCTACTCCATCTAATCAATAAATAATAGTATAATTCGAGAATTGTTGTTGAGGTCTTACTTTCTCGTAAGACACTGTACAAATACTCACATTTAAAAAAAAAAATTCTCAAAAATTTGCACGGTAAGATATAGTTAAAAGTTCACTATTAGATAAATAAGGACTTCAACTATTAGAAAAAAAATAAATTTTAGTCATAATCTAATATTTTTTATTTAACATTGGTGGCGAAAGGGGTGGCGAAAGGACCTCCTTAAATCAAATACTAGCTCGATCATTCAACAATGTGGGAACTCTTTTAGGTGTAAACTGCAAATATTGGTATAGTACGAGCAAGAGATATAGTGTGACTTTAAAGCTTTAAAGCCAGCCGGCAACATACAAAACAACTAACCTTTAAATTAGTAGAAGAGCATTCAAGAAATTGAGTATACTTATTTTATTTTAATTCCCTCGATAAAAGGGAAGTATTGTAAACGTGAAAATTTAAATTTTCACGTTCTCGGGTCCCCAGATTACGAAAAACATGTTTTCCTCATTCCGTTGGTCTGTCCGCCGTCTGCTGTCTCATCTGTCTGTTGGCGCGGTAGCTCAAAAACGACTTACGAGAAAAACTTCAAATTTTGAATGTAGGTAAGGTTTTCTCTTGGCTCAAAATCGATTATACTTCTGGTCAGATATATACAGCGTGAGCAATTGAAAAAACATTTAATTTTAAAAGTAAAAAGATTTCGACTAAAATTGATTTTTGATAAAATTGTTATCTGATCAAAGATAACAGATCATGAATTACTTTTTAAAAATTCAAAATTATTTATTATTAAAAGAGATATTTTTTAATACCTTTAAAAATAGTTTAGATATAATTTTTAATTTTGACATGTGTTACTAAGATATAAAACCATAAACTTTAGTTAACAAATTTATTTTATTACTCTACCAGTGACGTCTCTGCAAACATGACATCTGATATTTTCTACAAAAAAAGTAGTACGCCACTGACATGGCGTATACTTTTTTAAATTGTTTCGTCCGTAAAACTTTAAGTTCTTCTTTCTTATAGCTGTCTTGAAATTACAAATCATTGTCCAATAGAAAATTTTGTATATCCCCTTTCGTTATCGTGTTGAATGTACTCCTAAACAATCTGTGTCTTGACTAACTTGACTAAACGATTCTTACTCAATGCAGTACAGGTGGCTGAAAATACAACCGGCAGGAGCGGACTAGGTTTGTGAATAAACTTTTAGAAAACTAACTTAGTTCGTTGTACATTCTTTCTTTGATTTTTGAAAATGTGAGATAAAGAAGAGGTGGTGAAAAAATCGTGCAACTAAGCACACCCAAAGCTAGACAAATTTTGTTGTATTTACGCCTTATGTTTGGAATTATCTCAAAAGGAAAGAAAGTGTTACACGTATCTAAATATTACGTTGAATATTATAAATCAAAACAAGATGTTGATGTTGCTTGAACAGCATTTTCTCAAGTTGTTTGAATCCTCTTATTGGGTGATATGCATAAAAATCTGATATGTGCAACATATGACTTTCCTATTTAGTTATTATAGGCTTTTTCCGGTTATTTTGTACAAAATTATATAGCAGCACATCTGTAAATGTTTAGAGGATAAACTAAATATATACATTTTCCACATACTTCTAACCCGAAACATTTTTTATAGGTATATATTCATTGCCAACGAAAATGTTTCGAGTTAGAAGTATGTGGAAAATGTATATATTTAGTTATGTATTACTTTTTAAAAAGTAATTAATAACCTGTTATCTTTGATTAAATAACAATTTTATGAGAAACCAAACTTTTAAAAATAAATCTTTTTTTAATTGCTCACACTGTATATATCTGACCGGAAGTATAACCGAATTTGTGCCAAGAGGAAGCCTTACTGCATACAAAATTTGAAGTTTTTCTCGTAAGCCGTTTTTGAGCTATCGAGCCAACAGACAGACGGCAGACAACAGACGGCGGACGGCATGGGAAAAACATGTTTTTTGTAATCTAGGGACCTGAAAACATAAAAATCTAAATTTTCATGATTACTATACTTTGCTTTTATCCAGGGAAGTAAAAATAAAGTAAGTATACTCATTCTCTTGAATGATTCTCTACTATATTTAATGTATCAGTGTCCTTAGTTTTTTTTTGTATGTTGCCGTCTGGCTGTAAAGCTTTAAAGTCACACTGTATCTTTTGTCATACTATAATAGTTATTATTTATTGAAGGTTACAGCAAGCTGGAATCAAAAACAAATGGTTCCTGGATCCACTGTTCAACTAAATATTGAAACTAGTTCACAGTCTTTATGTTCTGTTTCTGCTATTGATAAATCAGCTAAATTTCTTGCGCCAAGTCATCAAATATCTAAGCTGGATACGTTAATGGGATCTTTTTCTCCAGAGGATAGGGGTTACCTAAATTCCACCAGAAAAACATGTATAGTGAGAGATAGAAAACATAAAAGTAAGTTATTCTAGTATTTATTTTATATTTCTGTAAATTAATGTTGTTCTGGGACAATTATTTATTAATTTAATGATTTATTTTTATTGGCACCTAGATCAACCAGTCAAAAAATGTGTGGCAAAATTGACTGTTACAATTCAATGCAAATTTTATTAACACTCCCATTATTGTGTACCAAAGTACTTACTTAATAATATACCACCAATTTTTTTCAGATTCTTATAGAGATTGGAGCTCGATAAGAACTCAGCGCCATGTCTACTCATTTTCAGAAGATTATGATGCTTTTGATATTTTCAATGTAAGAAATAAAAACTCCTTCTTAAAGTATACACGGTCTCCTAGAATAGGCGCACCAATAGGTGCAACTTTATTGAAATAAAAACCTAAAATAACTTTTATTAGTATCTTAAAAAATAAAGGTAGTAAAAATTATCTCCAAAATTACAGTTTTACATCCCTCAAAATGAATGTCAGACTCTAAAAATATGTGTTATTTATACCAGCTATTGGTGCGCCCATTTTGCCTTGTTTTTGTGATCCGCAAAAGTAAATGAAAAACTAAACTATCAAATTTAGGTACCTTTTAATTTTGGGTATTTTTTATATATTTTTATTAAAATGAAAACAGTTAAAAACGATTCATACTGTATATTTAAAAAATGTATATCAGGTTTAAGAAGGAAGCTCTTGATGTTAATTCCACAATATTGAGCAACTACCAACCAATTTTTTAATTTAAATTAGTTTTTATACGTCAGTTCACAAACTTTTGGTACACTATTTTACACCTTGCTCTTGATTTTGAGGGCAGTAATTTGTTAGTAGTATTAGCAGCTTTTTCAAGGATATCAGGAAGAGTTTATAACGAAATCATTTTATTTTTTGAAACAATAATTGTGTAACTATAAAAATGGTGATTTTTCTATTTCTCAAATGTCAAAACTATTTATTGTAACCATAGCGACCACCTAGCAACGGAGTAATAAGGAAAATTTGATAAATGAAACTGATATAAATTACGTAACAGTTTTGGGATTTCATTACGTAACAGTATCTGTAACGATGTATTTACTTAAACAAAATGACACATAATAGACGATTTAGTGAGATGGTTGTAGATAAAATACATTATGTTACTAGTTGCGAAATGAAAACAAATAAAAAGAAACCTTTTTTGGTGTTTAAATGAATAATATACATTATTATTGAAAGTTTATAATCAAAGAAGGACAGGTTGACTTATAAAAATAGAATTTGGTTAAATTAAAAACCTAGTGATAATATTGTTTTGGTCCTTATTCCCAATTCTTCATCAGCACAAAATAATTTAAATACAATACACGACAAAATAACCCACTTTTTTGAAAAGAAAATAACTTTAATAAGTCATATACATTAAAAAATCAATATTTTTTTCTAACTCTGACTTTAGGATTGAAATAAGTTTTATTTTAGCATGCATTTATTTGCCGTTAATTACGTTTTCCATATTAATGGCTGACGTTATAGACATTTAAAATATCTCTCTAATATATGTTTTTTAAATATACAGGGTGGATAGTTTTTAAATAAACCCACTTTTCTGCATATTTTGAATCGATAAATATTGCCCTCAACTTGGTGTTATTAAAACTTCTTCCTTTAGATATTTGGTAGCCTCATTATCACTAACCTAAAGGTCGTCTCCAAGTCTTGTTATCAAGGTAAAACTACTATCATTTTATTTTGATTTTATGATAGCAATCTATTTTTTTTGTATTTAGGGCCGACTTTGAAGAATACGAATAGAGGTATGTTTCATGTTGTACCAGTTTCTTCTAGAATATTGCATTAAAATTTTTAGTTCAGTTCTTGACACAACGCTATGATGATATAAACGAGGATCAAGTAACTTCGATAAGGTCACAGTTTCCAGAAACTTGGTTGTGGGAACTGATACCAGTTAGGTAAATAAAATTAATTTGTTAATAGTGTTAAAAAATATACAAATTTTAGAGACAAATTCTAAAAACTCCGACCATAGTGGGAAATGAACTTGTAAACTTGCGATTACTCACCCACCATCCACAACACTTAAGTTAATTAAAGTAAAGAGAAAACTCAAAGAAAAAATCCGTGTTCCAGCAGGATTCGAACCTTCAATATCTAGCATATTGTCCTAGCACCTTTTCGACTCGATAATCTTAACTTTATTTTAATTAGAAAAGTACAGCTGTGTCACTACGGTATGCGCAAAAGAGACGTCATAGTCAAAGCCATTGTAAATATGATAAATCAGTGGCGTAACAATTTATTATTTCTAGGTTAACACAAAGATTGTTTGTATTGTTTTTTTTTTAATATTCGACAAATCAAATTTTGTTGTAATCCTTCAGAATGCCTTATAAGGGTGTAAAAATCCTACATACCATTATACAGTAGGTGACTCTAAATAGTTCGGATTAGACGTTTTCCAAAAATTTCGCAAACTTGAAATCTAAAAATATATGTACAATGGTTTATTAAGATGTTTTATTCAATGAAGAAATTATCAATTCCAAGTTAAAAGGTGCTCACCAACTTTAGTATCAATTTTTAGTAAAATTTCATACCTAGATAGTATGTGTTAATTGGTTGGGCCACCCAAAGCAATCAAAAATTACAATTTTTAATTTGAACAACTCTTGCATCGAAACCTTTAAGACTTTCATCTTTTAAAATATGATTTAAGTTAATATTTTAGTAAGTTGTTTCAAAATATAATTTTTGGACAATCATGTACCAAATTAAACCTCCAGTAAAGTCAGGTAATAGTTTTGATTATTTGAAGAATACCTACAAAAAGTAGGTGTACTTAATAATGAAACTTTTTGGTTGGGTTTAGCTATCGTAACAGATTTTTATTTTTATTAATTATTTTTATCAAAATTAACTTTTTAAAGTAGGAACTCTTTTTCCAATATTTAAAAGTCATAAATTATCTCCCTAATCCTTTGCAGTTCTCCAAATTTTAATGTATTTAGTTCTCTTTTTTCTTGGAGCAGATCTAAATGGATATTACGCATAATACTCGAGTTTGGGTAATTCCCGAAAGAAATGCACAAAACTAATTTTGCGCAACTAATAATTCCCAAACCCGACATTGTACTTCTACGGCTATTGAGCATTACAAAATTGCGCAAAACTAGTTTTGTATATTTTTGAATGATCAATACTAGTTCTATTTGTTTTATTTAAGACGGAATTTGCACGCCATAAGTTGGCGATAGATGGCGATTAGATGCACTTCTGCGTAATAATTAGTGATGCCGCGAGACGAGAGATTCTCGTCTCTCGTCTCATCTTGTCTCGTCTCGAACGAGACGAGAGAGACATTTTCTCTCGAAAACAGATTCGAGACGAGAGAGTTTCATCTCTCGACGAGAATTTCTCGTTTCTCTCGAGCTCTCTCGGGCTCTCTCGAACAATTTTCTCTTTGCTTATTTGAAATTTTCAATTGCTTATCGTAACTTAAAATTTTAACATATTAGATTTCGAGATAGTCAAAAAGTTAACTATAACACACCTATTCTATATACAGGGTAGCTGTTAAAGATGGAACCAAACCTATAGTGCTTAAACGGTTCAACATACAAAATCCAAAATTTTAAAATTTCAACTAAATATATTTGCGCATATTTTAGCCCAAAAATTATTTTTCTTATAATTACAAAATTTTAAGCATAGTCACCATCTTGATTTTTTTAAATTGCAACATAGATCATGTGATATACCATTTAAAAGGGTTTAATACCCTGATTACAAAAATGTATCACACATGGGGTTTAAACACAACAGAAAGGATATTATTTTAACATACCGACCAATTAGTCTAACATCGTTTTCCATGAAGACATTGGAAAGGCTATGCGAAAGGTACATAAGGGATGCGGTGATTACAACACCACTACACTCAAACCAACATGCATACATCCCCGGCAGATCTACTGATTCGGCCCTTAATCTAGTTGCTGGCCGAATAGAAAGATCTCTGGACAATAAGAAGTCTGTCGTGGGTGTTTTCATAGACATAGAAGGTGGTTTTATCAAAAACACTCCAAGTATAATACACTCACTAATCAACAGAAATGTTCCACAAATGGTTAGTGGGTGGATACGTAACATGCTCTTAAAGCGAGCAGTAAACCTAAGTGTAGAAGATGTGAATATAAGAGGCTTGGTTGCGAGATATGTCCACAGGGAGGGGTGCTATTACCTCTACTGTGGAATATGATCCTCGACACCCTCATCAGCCGCCTCAATAATGACAGTCACTACACAATAGCATATGCAGATGACCTGATCATTCTGCAAACAGGGAATTTTGAGAACATACTCTGCGAAACAATGCAAGTAGCTCTAAAAATTATAGAACAGTGGTGCAAGGACCATTCACTGTCTATCAATCCTAAGAAGACAGAAATGGTCCTTTTCACAATGAAAAGGATGAAAATGGAATTAAAACCTCCAGAACTCCTAAACACAAAACTAAACTTTGCAACAGAGGTGAAGTACCTAGGTCTCACCTTTGACAGCAAGTTAACATAGAACTCGCATTTAAAAAACAATTAAAAGAGCATACATTGCTTACGAGCAATGCCGCCGAACCGTGTGACACACCTGAGGTTTCTCCCCCAGAGTCGTCGCATGGACTTACACGGCTCATAAGACCTATGCTAACATATGGTGCAGTTGTCTTGGTACCGAAAACCCAAAAATTAACAGCTATCCGTAAACTAGAACAGATTCAAAGAACAGCATGTTTCAACATAACAGTAGCCATGAAAACAACACGGACTAGAGCCATGGAAGTCATTCTCAGTCTCACTCCCCTTGATATTTACATAAAGGAGGTTACTCTTACGACAATGACACGCCTCCGCACGGTCGAAATAGAACCTGATATGGGATATGGTGAGGCGAGTCACTTTTGGCAAGAGGCGCTCGATACGCTCTCACTGCTTCAAGCGAACATGGACTCCATCTTACCGAGATATATCTTTCATAAGCCATATAAAGTTATAATAGAACAAATAGAAGAGCCGGAAGCGGCAGGTACGATTCATATCTACACCGATGGTTCTAAAACAAAACAAAGCTCAGCATGTGGAATATACTCCAAATTCTTAAACCTAAACATAAAATGGGCTGTGAGCAATAGTGCCAGTGTAGTTCAAACAGAGCTAACGGGGATTCTCATAGCAGCAAAAAAAAATAACCAGAAACAATATCACTGGAAGGAACATGCTCATCTATTCAGATAGCAGACAAGCACTACTCACCCTGAACAGACCACGAATTTATTCAGTGTTAGTACTAGAATGTCACGAAGCTGTGGCCGAAGTATCCATCAACAATGTGGTAGTGACAGGCCTAATTAAAGAACATTCCCTTGTGAAATTCAAGGAAAGATGGGATGAAACAAAAAACTGCAGAGTTGCTAGGGAGCTCTTAAGTTATCCTGACAACACTGCAGCAAACAAATACTTGACTATGACTAGACAGAATCTGCGCCTAGTCACAGGCATTCTGACTGGTCATTGCCAAGTACGGAAGCATCTTCATATCATGGGTCTATCAGAATCCGCACCATCGAGCATATCCTTTACGATTGCTCGACGCTCTCATCTATTAGAAAATTTGTGTTTGGCGAGTATCGGCTAACACCGGCCGATATAAGAGAAGCACCTCTTGGCGACGTTGTCAACTATATTTAATCTGTAGGCTGGATTAAGAGCTAGGAGGTGCCTATCATCTTAGGAGGATGCACAATACGCCTAATGAGGCCTAAATACCGTAAGGGTAACCCACCCTCCACACGTTACAGATACAGATAGTTGGATCAACCTGTGATTACCTGTATTACGTATAAAAATTCACCATAGAATACACGTAAAATTTGACTTTTATACTTGATTGTAAACGAAATACTTTTTTTATTCTACTTACACATAATTTTTAGATATTAAATTCCATATTCCATAAATGATCCATAAATGTAATTTAAAACGAAATGACTAAGACGGTTAAAAATATTATGACATTTTAGTCTTGTACTGTTCTCAATCTCAACCTATTAGACCGTCAGATAGTGACCGATTTAGGTGCCCCATTTTCGCATACGAGCCTCGAAGAGAGTTGAAAAGTACATCGATGTTGAGTAGAATAAAAGAAAATTTAAGAGTGACTCTTGGGGATAACACAAAAAAATTTCCTACCCCAAAATGCCCTTATACATTCAAGCCATTCAAGAAAATATATTTTTCGGACTAGCGACGATGGACGTTTTCATACATTCGATGGGCTTATGTAGAAAAATCTGGTAAAATCTCGATTTTTCCTTAGAAGATTTCGCCCTTATTTCAACCCATTAGCCACTTGCAACATTAAAGCCTTTGGTTTTCCGAAGCCTATTTCTATTAATTAATCATAAAGTAAAAACGGCTTACGTGGAAATATGGGCAATAAATAACCTTTCATTTTTGTTGGGGAAAATCTTATTTTCCATGTGTTATCTCCAGGAGCCACTCGTAAATTCACTTACATTCTACTTAAAATCGATGTACTTTTCAACCCTCTTCTAGACTTGTATGCGAAAATGGGGCACCTAAATATGTCACTATCTGACCGTCTATATTCTATGATAAAAGTATAAGTAATACCAATTTTATAGCGGATCCGTTCAGTTAAGAAGACATTTGCCTCACAGTATTACATCATATGTTACAAACGTATTGTGCGTTTCTGAAAAAGAAGGCGTAGGAATAAGTAATGAAACAGAGATCACTAGTTTCCAAAATGTGTTTGTTGAGGTTTTGGTGCCATACAGCGTAAAGAGGGAAGAATCATTTTATTTATATATCCATGTTTCCAATTATAGAAGTCATCCAATACCTGTAAGTTATTTGTTTTATAAGATTTTAAGTAAACTTACTGTTTGTAGAGTACATGTAGACGAAGGTTTACTGATATTGTCTTGGTCGGTTTTTTGGATAAACAAATTAAATGATTGCAACGAACACTAACTTATTCGCCGTATTAGTGATTACGTAATTTGTATGCTAAATAAATTTGTTGTTTATAGGCTAAATGTCAGTTTTTAAACAATTATTTCACTTTTTTTTGAAAAGAATATATCAGCAGTGGTAATCAGAAGATGAAAATAACTAAAATGTGTAAACTTTTATTAAACGTTGAAAAATCAATAAGCATGACAAAATCAAAAGTGATGTTAATAAAAAAAAACCTTTTTTTTAACTACTGTGATCTTCGAAAATAATCTTTAATTCTCAATACTTCCCCATGAACTTAATTTTGAAAACTAATTCCAAGTAAACCTCTTAGTTTCTGAAATTGATTTGTTCAAAGCGGCATAATATCTGCCAGCTGTTCTGTTCCAGAAATATGAATTAATTTAAACATTCCTTCTAACACCTTCTCTCTGATAAAGTGCTAACGAATTTCGATATGTTTTGAACGCTTGTGGAATTCTGGGTTATGAACTTATTTTACAGCACTTCCGTTGTCAATTCTTAGAGTGGGAAAGTCTTCTATTTTTGTTGAAATTTCATTAAATAATCTTCGAAACCAAATTATTGCTTTTGCTGCTTCAGATCCCGCAATATACTCTGCTTCCTTCGTCGATAGTGATACTGATTTCTGTTTTTGACAATACCAACTGGCAGCTTCTTGACTGAGTAGACAAACAAAACCTGATGTGGACTTTCTAGTGTTCAAATCTCCAGCATAGTCCGAATCACTATAATCTTTCGGTTTGAATAAGTAAGTCAAATTCTAGTGTGCCCTTAAAATATTTCATAATGCGTGTTAACATTTTCTAGTGCTGGTTTTTCGATTTAGCCATAACTTGTGCTAAAACGTGTAGTGCAAAAGTTATATCTGGCCTGGTTCCAACCGAAAAGTGCATCAAGCTTACAATAGCTGATCTAAAGGGATAAACTGGGTCTAGGTAATGGTCCTCATGATCATCTTCCCCTATATACTGACTTTACTCAATGGATATCGCTACCGCATTACAATATTCCATACTAAATTTATTTAAAATATGTCTCATGTAAATAGCTTGATTGATAAAAATCTTGTTAACAAATTGATAAATTTGTTTCCCAAATAACTATTTAAATTTGAAGTTATCGTTACCTTAAAATAGGATTTTAATTTTTGTAATAATTCTTTATTTACGTTAAAATCTTCACCAACAACAAGCCCATCATCAACGTACATAGTACTAAAAGCTTAGCAGGTGGTTTCCTCCAGAACAAGCAAGAATCGGCAGTACTCTGAAGTAAATATGTTTCTTTCAGGAACTCTGTAAACTTTTTATTCCAACATCTGGACCATTGTTTCAAACCTTAAATCCTTTTAGAAAGTTTACAAACTCTGTCCGTTCCGTCTTCAAATGCTTTAGGCTGCTCCATGTAGATTTCTTCATGCAGGTTACCATACAAAAAGGCTATTTTAACATCAAACTGAGATACTTGGAGATTCTCTGAAACAGCAATAGCTAAAATAGTTCATATTGTATCATACCTGACAACAAGAGCAAATGTTTCTTCATAATCAACTCCTTCTTGTTGTGAGTAGCCTTTGGCAAACAATCTTGCCTTATAATGGATGTTTTTCAGACAGTCTTTCTTAATTTAAAATAAACTATTTTTAATCAGTTTTTGTCCACGCGGTCTTTCTACCAGTTTCCAGGTTCGATTTTCAAGAAGAGATTTCACTTCTTCCTCCACCGCTTGTTTTAATTCTGCTGCCAAATCAGAATAAAGTGCCTCTTTTATAGTGGCAGGTTCTTCAGTTGCTATGAATACTTTGTTTCTTCCTCTAACTTTTCTTGACTTCCAGCAAAACTATCTATAGTAAAGGTTGACTGTGTCTCCTCTGCCAGTTCTTTGTTTCGTATGATGGGAGATTGGGGAATATCTGGGTTGTCTGAGATTTTAAAATTGTCGTAAAACATAACTGAATCTTTAACTGTTTCTTCACTTTTAAAGATAACATCCCTGCTTAGAGTAACATTCCTTTTGTGAAGAAACCATATTCTAAATTCATCTTTTTTATCAGAATAACCAACCAAAAAAACCCTTATACTTTTTCTGTCCCACTTTGTCCTCTTATGTTTTGGCACATGGACAAAGCATTCTGTTCCAAAAACTTTCAAGTGACTCCTCCTCCATCCAAAGAAATATCGGCATCTCGTTTTCTACTCTCGTTGGGCCACTTCTATTGATAACATAGGCTGCTGTGTTTACGGCTTCTGTCCATAGTTCCTCAGGAAAATCATTTTCATGCAACATACTTTTCTAAAGACGTGCACATTCCCTTGTTTACAACAGATGACAACGAAAAAAGATGTCTACCAATATCAGGTACATACCAAACATTTTCCAAGTAGTTTTGAACCCATTTATTGTATACATGCATCTCTCAACATTAGTATTTCCTCTTCCCAATTCATGTATTCTTTGACTGTTTCCAACTAATACATATTGGGTAGTGGTAAAATATTTAAAAGTTGAAAACCAATGTCTGTTTATGGTCATATGTTCAGTCGCTCCAGAATCTGCTATCTAAGTCTCTCTTTCATGTAAATTAGGGATAAAATCGAAGATTGAGTCAAAGGCTGACCCAACTAATGTATTTTCTTTGACTTCTTTCTCCTTCAGACAATCCTTTTTAAAATGGCCTTTACCACCACAGCGATAACATTTGAATTTACTTTTGAATTTCGTTGGAATATCTGCTTTGCTACTGCTAGAAACGTGAGGCTTCCTTTTGGAAACATATAAGGCTGAGCTGCTTAAAGTGTCAGGTGCATCTGCATTTCGCTCGTTCAAACGTACTTCCACAGTACAAAGTCGTTCTCTTAAAAGACTTGTAGTTCTATATTCTTTTGGAACAGACTCCCATGCGTTGACAAATTCAAAATATTCAGATGATTAAGTATTAAGGACCCTATTCAGAAACAAAGATTCTGGTATCTTCACTTTGTCCTCTTTCCAGGTTTAATCCTGTAATTCAATGCAAATTTTCTCGAGGCTCACAACATGCTTGGCTACACTGTCTTCAGAGCCCTTTTCTTTTATACCAAAAAACATATTAAATAGACTGTCCTGTCGCTGCTCTGTCCTTTGTTAATATATTCCTAATAGTTTAACGTACATATCATTTGCATTTTCGCACATATTAATAAGTTGCCTAACTTGAGAACTTAGGCTTGTAACTATTATATTTTGAGCAGTATACTCAATTTTAGTAACTTCTTTCAATTTTTGTTGATACGTTGTTACATCCTCTTGAGTTGCACTTTCACCAGGTTTCTTAGGATACACAAAATTCCCTTCTACTGCTTCCCATGCATTCATTGCATGCAGTTGAATTTTAATTTGGAATTTCCAATCCACAAAATTGCTTTGTCCTTCTAATTTCTCAATTAGAGTTCTTGGAACATCCATTTCCTGATAATATAATTTTAACTGACTTATTAATATTTTCTTAGTTATTTTCATTCTATTTTCGCTGCAAAGCTGGGCCGATAACCTTTTGAAAAGAATATCTCAGTAATGGTAATCAGAAGATGAAAATAACTTAAATGTGTAAACTCTTATTAAACATTAAAAAACCAATATGAAAAAATCAAAAGTGAAGTTAATAAAAGAAAAACTTTTTTTTAAACTACTGTGATCTTCAATTCTCAATATATTTTAGTTAAATATATTTAAAAAATAAGTAGATTAATAATCGTTTAGGACGAGTTGTATAAAGAATGCTGAAAATGTAGTTCTGCTACCAAAAGTTTAATTTTTAACCGGTTTTAATTAACGCACAAATGTCATTTTTAAAACTATGATTAACAATAACTGATTTAAAATATACCGAGGTTCACAGTTTAAAATAAGATTACATTTTAACCGCCTATTGTACTACCCAGCTTTAGTAAACAATACTGTGAAATAATAAATAAAAGTAGAGGTCATGTATTAATTTAAATTTTATTTCTTTTATTTTCAAGACTGTATTTATTTAAAATTATCACTGGAAAAGTTACAATAATTAAAAATAATTTGTTTCATACCAACAATAAAAAAAAAACTATAATTTTTAGATTCGTTTGAATTTGGGAATGTCGGATGGATTGGAAATAAATGAAAAGGAAGTTAAGCCAAGAGCTTCATATTGTATTCAAGCAAATAATACAGTTACGCACAAATTCAAATTAAAGGCAATATCACTTGGTGCAGTAAACATTAGCGTTTTAGCAGAAACCGATACTCAGTACCCATTTTATTGTGGTCCTGAAACTATTTTGTTTAAAAGGTAAAAAGAGATTATTATCCAATTATTTATCTCTTCAGATAAACCAGATGTTCTCCTCAATATAAATTCCTATAATTTAAAATCATCATTTAGTTAAAAAGTAGTTAAAGCCTCGTTTAAAATATTAAGGCTTATTTAAAAGTAATATGTTTTCTATTAATTAGGACCAAGCTGTAAAATATACTAAAGTTTGTTTTATTTTAGAGATTCCGAAATTAAAACCATTTTAGTAGAATCGGAAGGATTTCGTATGAGAAAAACTAAATCTGCCTTGCTGTGTGCTACGGGTAAGAACTTAATATCAACTTTAATTTTAAAAAATATAACATAAAAAAAATAGCAGTTAATTAACATATGCTATATTTTATACTTTTAAATGCAATATTAATTAAAAAATAAGAAAACCGAAGTCTTATATTAAATGTCAATCGAGTCTCGACAACTGACTTTTTTTGGTCAACCGTAAATCATTAATTTACATACATTATAATCAATAAATAATAATATCTTTCTGAATGCTTCATATTTTCATAAATAGAAATTGTTGTACAATTTTCTTTTTTTTAGGATCCAATAATGTGTCTTGGGATGTAACAGTTCCTCATGCTATAGTACATGGTACTTATAGAGCACACATTAGCATTAATGGTGACATAATGGGAAAAACAGTGGAAGTAAGAATTATTTATATATACTGGCTTTTCAAAAATGAACACCCAGTAAGAATTATAAACCTAACAAACGAATACATTTATGTAGCTTAGTGGTAAATAATCGTGACTCTAATATTGTATTAACTAAAGCTTATATTTTTTGTGGTAGAAAATTGTTTCTCTATAAGTACTAAATATTGTTTGATCTAGTACGTTTAAAAAAAATAGTATTTTCATTTTTCAAAGACGTAAAAAGTCGTATTTCCAACTTTGGCCAGAATTTTCTCTAAGATACACTCAACCCAAAATATTAAAAAAATAACAATGCTATTTAATAATGAGTGGATCCGCGACGGTTTCTTATGCGATAACTCTTCAAGGCATATTTAAATAGAAATTATTTCCTGTTACTTGTGGAATCTTATTCCTGGCTTCTTGAATTCGGTGAAGAAGGTCAATGATGGTAATTGGTATTTGAGGTAAATTACCCAGTCAATTCCCGATCATATTCCACACACATATAATTGGTAATAGGTTTGGCGAGGGCAATACCATGGAAGCAGAGTTACGTTATTTTCTTGTAGGAACCCATTGCTGTATAAAGACGTGCGTTCTGTTTCTCGAGTCTCGCGATGTGTCTCGATGTGGCCAGCGCTAGACTTTCTGTCGCAGGTAATAAACAAAGATCAGGGTTGGCTTCGCATCACAATAATTTTAAATTCATGCATAGAATTCATGTCATTAAAATAAATAATATTTCTTTAGATCTGTAAAAGTATATCAGTATTATGAATTTGATTAAAAGTTCGTTTAACCGACTCTTTCTATATTTTGAATCAACTATTATTTTTACTTATATTAAAAATATATTTTTCTGTTTTTGACATATAAAGTGATATTTTTTGTAAACGCAGCAAGTGTCAAACTTTACGCTCTGCTCGTTCAGCAGAAATTCACTCGATACATAAAATAAGGCATTTCGTACCTACCGCATAAGAACTACAGATTAAAAAATGTATACTACGTATTGGCCAAATGCAATATAAGGTTTTTTTTTATAAATACTCACTAACTAAAAATATTCCACTAGAGTTGTAATACATGATTAACGCCCTGCTGAAGATAAACTTAATTAACTATTTTATCCTTTTGTAGAACTTGGATGAATTGCTAGATATCCCGACTGGGTGTGGTGAACAAATAATGGCGACAATGGCACCAAATTTATATGTCCTACGTTATTTAAACTCTACGAATTCATTAAAGAAGCCCATAAAACAAAAGATAGTTCGAAATCTTAAAATAGGTCAGTATCAATTTGTTGGAATCAATGGTTGTAACTGTAGGTAGTCAATGCGAGTACATAATAATAATTGTGTAATGCATAATATAATTATTAAATGTAATAGTAATTTACGTTACAAGACCGGAAAGTATACACTTTCTGAACAATTTTTTATCCAGAAAATAACGTTTTGTCGATCAAGACCAGAAGGTAGACGTTAGGGACCTGTAAAGCTTTTGCCGGTACCTGTTTTTTATTTTTCCGATCGCTGATAATACAGTCTGCCTTGATTTCGTTACTATGGTAGCAAAGTTCCGATTTATTGCCAAGTGACAGTTCTTTGATTTTTAATTTGTTGTTTATATCAAACTTGTTTTCGCAAATTTAAAAATATGTATTCAGATTTGGAATTATAACGAACATGCCAGTGTTGCCAACTGATGTCTTTTTGATTGGATAAATTAAATGAAATTTAAAAATCTCAATATAATTATTAAAGTAATTTTTAATCTATGCCGCGGTTACAAGAACTAAAAATCCGATACTTCAGCGGAATTCCGCTACAACTGGCAACACATATAACTATTTAAAATATATTTCCTACAGAGAGCGTTAAACAAACTGTTTAAAATTTGTGTAGTGTTCCCCCTCACGTGCTAGTTCAATGTCTTTCTTTCTAGACATGATGATGACTTTGAGAGGCCGACACTAGTAGTATCTTACTTTTATCAATAAATTGATTGTAACCAAGACATTAAGTATTATTTGGTTGCATCTAGAACATCTTGTCACATTTGGAGAATAAATTATCTTCTACACGTATACAAGGTCAAAACTATATGAGAGCAGCTCAATTATCTATTCTTCCCGTTATCAGAAACATTAATAGGATAACTCTGGGCCCACAACCTATAGGAATACTGATTTTGCAGATGAAAAAATAGAGTAGAAAAATAATCGTGACGTTGACTTCAAACAATTTTTATTGACTGTTAATATAACATCAAACATACATATTAATTAATATAAGTACACAAGTACACAAAATTCATAAAGACCTACTGAAAACTAGGTTTTTCCAATACTTACAAATGAAAGTTGGACCTTTGAAAACCACCTTTAGACCTCCATAATAGTTTTTGGAAGCCGTAGAGAAAATGTTCTAAATAAATAGAATCTGTCAAAATAATATCTAATAATCTTAGAATAAAGTAGGTATTATGTAAAGTTTTCGGTTCTATTTTTATTAATTTTTCTACTGAATCTAAAAGTCGCATTAGACATTATCAAAAACTTATTCAGTCGATAATAAATTAAATTCTAATTACTATTTAACAATTAATTTATTTCCTATTAACCAGTAACCAGTTAAGGTATCTTTTTTCTCATTAAAATTTAAAAATCTGCCAAAATTTATTAACTTTGGGTGTAGGGAATGATTGACTTAAATGAATCTTTAATTCAGTTACCTTTAAATGGCGATATAAAATACAGGGCTGTCAATTAAAAAAATACTGAGAAAATGAATTGATTTTTAACTCATTCTGTACAGATTTGTTTTGAATTGAAAAAGTAGTGCATGGGTATAACATTTTCACTAATATCCAAAACCTTTTAAAGCAAAAAAATTGGTTTTTAATCGTTTCTTTTGCAGTTAATAAATAATAATAAATCAATACGATTATTATGTAAAAATGGTTATTGTTATAACGGGAAAAGGAAGGGCAATTAAAATATAAAATAAAATTTAACAAACCAAACTTTGATATATATCACTTTCTTGGAAACCCTGTAGAAATTATTTTTAAATTGTTGCCTTTTCTGGTATACATCTCGCTGTAAAAACAGATGTTAAAAAAATCAAAAAGTTTTGGCCCTACAGTCTGTAAAGAAACTAAAAAACTCAAACAGTATATACAAAATTTAATGACAGAATAATTTCATTTTGTTTGAATTACTGACATTACACTAATGAGGCATATTTAGAGAAAATTATTTATTATTGTGCAGCTTGAAACATCTAAATTTAGCCCAATAACATCTATATTATTCTATATGCACTTTTTTACTTAATATTTATTAATTTATGTTTAGGATACCAAAGAATTCTAAACTATGTTCACGAAGATGGTTCTTTCTCTGCGTTTGGTTATCACGATCCAATGGGATCAATGTTTTTAACGGCATTTGTCGTGAAGATATTAACACAAGCTAAGGAATACATTTATGTGGATCAGCATATGCTCGACCGTGCTGTTTCTTGGATATTCAACAATCAATTAGAAAATGGCTGTTTCAATACAATGCATCATGTTTTTCAGGATATGGTTTGTATATATGTGAAAAACTATAATATAACTCTTCTTTGGTATATAGCATAAACCAAATCTTAAGTAATGTCGTTCAATAATTTCAAGCCTTTCATAATTTTCTGTAATATATTTAGAATAATTATAAAATATATCACATAAAATTAGGGTTTTTACCAGACAAACTTAATAAACTGAATAGACATTATGTATTTTAGTAGAAGGGAAATGAGAGAGCAAACGAAGGAAACCTCCTTAGAGAGCAAACGGAGAAAAACCCATGACAGAGCAAACAAAGGAAACACCATGAGGGAGCAAAATGAGGAAACCATCTGGTAAACACCTGCATCCGGTCAAAAAAAAAAATTATAATACATACATCATACCCCGCATATAATAATTACACACATGTTGACCATCTGGTATATAATTTAATATCTCTGGGAATGATAACGACTTCATTTTCTCACGGAATATTTTTAACACATGTTGACCATCTGGCATGTAATTTAATCTCTGGGAATGATAACCACGTAATTTTCTCATGGAATATGTTTGATACATGTTGACCATCTCTGGCATGTAATTTAATATCTCTGGGAATGATAACGATATTCTGATGCAATTTTTAAAAATATCTAGCAAACATATGGCATGTAAATTATCTATCTTATTCTCACTCTCTACATTCAACCCCACCATCTGACAGTCACGTGACCTCTTCCTATTTAAGGAACTCTGCATTCGTTGCGTTTTTAATTTCGTGACATAGGATCTTGGACACCAATGCTTTTTGAATGGAAAACGTGTAGTTCACTCTGGACAGTACAGTGCTGATAAGGACATTTAAGTCATGATTGGACAAATATTGCTAATAATTTAAATGGGGAAAAGTTATTTGTTATAGGGTAACAACAGCATCGTCCAAGCAAATTATTTTCTTGAAAGTTGTTTTTAAATGGAGTCGTGTACCAGTGCGCTATAGTTTTTTCTTGTACGCTAACATTGTAAATCCATTAGTAAAATATATTAAAGCGTGAAGATGTTCATGTGCTGTACTACCATCGTCTGCTATTAGATGACATCGACAAATAGAATACCATTTAATATTGGGAGCACAAGCAAGTAAATTAAAGTCCTTTTCATTTAATATTAAGTGATACCATTCTTTAGACAATTCTTTGTAATCTTGTGCCATTTCCTGTGGCGACAAAGCGTTAATTTCATTTAAATTCAAGAGAGTCAAATATTCAGTTTTTGACAGTGAAGACATTTTTTTGTTATTTTTAGAGAAGCTACTCGTAGAAAATGTTTCAGTAGACTGGAAGGGTCTTGAATGTCTTAATACCTTAAACAAATAATTCATTACCCCCACCACCAAGATTTTTGCGCACGCGCAGTAGTACAAATGAACGTGATGTAAGCGTAATACATTTTACTAGTGGATTTACAATGTTAGCCTACAAGAAAAAACTACAGAGCACTGGTAAAAGACTCCATTCAAAAACAACTTTCAAGAAAATAATTTGCTTGGACCATGCTGTTGGTGTCCTCAGATACATCACCTGTGCTGATGCACAAAAGCCGCTTAGAAGGGATGGAGCTGGTCTTAGAGGTACACCTCATTCTCATTACGATAGAAGAGTATTCAAACAAGATTGGTTACATTCCCGAGGAAAACAGTGTATAAATTATAAAAATTGACCGATTCCATGTTGGCAGAGTACTGTCGGTGTCTAAGAGCTTCTCACTATTTATTAGCCATTTTAGTGGTGGGGGAAGTGTTTCATTTCTCCAAACTTTAGCGTGTCTCCCCTCTACCAAAGGATTTACATGTATTTCAAAAACATTGCATCAGAATGTATTAAATTACATCATGTGTTTGCCAGATGTTAAAAAATTGCATCAGAATATCGTTATCATTCCCCGAGATATTAAATTACATGCCAGATGGTCAACATGTGTGTAAATATTATATGCGGGGTATAATGGATGTATTATAAAAAATTTTTTTTTGACCGGATGCAGGTGTTCACCAGATAGTTTCCTCCGTTTGCTTTCTCATGGGGTCTCCTCCGTTTGCTCTCTTATGGAGTTTTCTCCGTTTGCTCTCTTAGGGGGTTTCCTCCGTTTGCTCTCTCATTTCCCCTCTACTTATTTTATATATTTTTTTGGTGTGTTAAATCGCATGCATTGATGCTTTGTATCCTGCTATTTCCCATTTTATAGCTTGTATTATGCTTCAAAGTTATCCACAACCGATTAAATTTTATCCATTAATTCCTGAACGGGTTATAAAAATATGCTTATGTCTAATACCTTCTTCTATTAAGCATTACTCATTTCACTGCAAAAATAAAAGAATAACAAAAAATTGCCTTTTTTAGGGCGGTGCCAGCAAAGAAAACAGTACAGCAAGCCTAACTTCATATGTAATTTCAAGTCTACTTGAAGCCAATATCTTGATACCACAAAGTGTACAAACTAATTCAAAATTCTGTATCAGAAGTCAAATCGAACCGGACAAATACAGTTTAGCCTTAAACTGCTATGCCATGTTCAAAATGAAGTGGGACAGTGAAGCCAATAAATTATTGCAGAAGCTCTTAGCATTGTCTGAACAGCACCAAAATTTAATGTGGTGGAATAATAAAGGTTAGTATCTTCTATGTAACATATTGTGAGTATCTACGAGAACAAGCATTCTGGAATATTGTGTCTTACTGTTCTTATCATAAGCGTATCTTATTAAAAGGTTACAAATCCGAAATGAACGTTTTATTTAGTTTCCGAAAACTAATATTTTGAATTTTGGATGGCTTATCCTTAAATGCAATAAGATGTAAAATATATAAAACATCAAGATTCCTTAAGTTCGAAATCTTTAAACTAAGATCCCAAGATAATTTATGAGGAGACTACTTACGGAAAAAAAACTATTTGTGGCGTTATTGGCAAAACTTATTGTTAAAAATAGATACATTTTTTGAATCACATTTTTTGTTATAAAGGTGTCATCCCGGAATATAGCAAATCGGGGTGAATTTTATTAATATTATTTATTTTTTCTAGATGACGATATTAAGGGATTTAAATGTTTTAAATATTCGCTGTTACAATTACATCTTTTTCTTTTTGCCAAAGTGGTATAGTTCTTCCATTATCAATTGCAGATCATAAAAACTCGTTCGGAATCTTTACCGACAATTTTGTTTGATCTGCCATAGGCGTAGATATCTACCTCATTTTATAAATTTATTTTATTACTACTTTTAATATATATCATATGCAAGAAAGTATTCGTTAAAAAGAAATCGAATAATTATAAATTGGACGTTATTATACGCCCTTATTTAGACAGATGCACTTAATTGTAATCTTACTTGGACTTAAAAAAAATCATTATAGCTCGTTAACTTGCTACAACTGAATATTAAATTATAAAACGTAAAAAAGCGAGTAAAGTGTACCTGCCTGTAAGGGCGTTTGGTTTAAACAGGGCCAGACGTGAATGAACCCTTTTTGTACCCCATTCGTTCTTTTTCTGGAAAACGAAATTTCAAAGAAAAAACCATAAAGGAAAATAAAGTCTTTGCAAATAAAACAAAAGAAAAAAAAACAATTCAATTCTAAAGTACCTTTATAAATAATCATGGCAGTCTGAATCCTCTGAACTAGAGTCATCATTTGCTTGAATTATGATGGGTTGTAAAGAGGGTAATACTACATACTCATCTTCTTCTTTGATAACATGTTCAACACAGTTTTTCCAAAGCTCTTGGCGGTCTGCTGCTAGAACTTTCTTTACGAGTTCTACAACTTCTTTACTCAGTTCTGGAGACTGATTACATTTTCGTAATTCTGATTTTAAGTTTGCCAATATTAACTCTATAGGGTTAAATATGCAATAGTAAGGAGGTAGTCTGAGAAGAGTTTGCACAGCTTGTCAATATAATACATTTTTTCTAACTGTATACCTTTAATAACAGTAAGCAATTCTTTGTTTGTTGGTCCTTTTTTACTATCACTGGCAGGAATAGGAATATTTTTTTCAGACATAAAAGCTAAAATTTGAGCTTTTTTACTGCTACTATTTGGTATTTTAAGGAGTTGCCGCGAGTGGTAGGATGCGTTGTTCATAACGATTACTGACTGTGGTGGAATGTAAGGTAAAAGCTGTTCATTAAACCGTTTTTTAAATAATTGTGCTGTCATATCTTCATGATAATCAGCTGCACAGTTTTTAATTTGTTTAGCAGATAATAATAAAGCATTAGGCACGAAACCGTCTTTGCTTCCAGCGTGTACTATTATAATGCGTTTCCCTTTAGAACATGGCCCATTCAAACAGCAATTTTTACTACTGCCAACCCAACCGAAATTTACTACATCGTGACTGTCAAACCATGTTTCATCTAGATAAATTATGTGTATATTAGAACTTCTGTAGCCTTTTATCTGACGCAAATAATCTTGTCGCCATTAAACTATCCTTGATGATTCGGTGATTGCCATCTGTTTATTCAATTTTTTGTGTTTAAAACCACATGCTGACAAAACTTGACGCAATGTTTCCAAACTGGTATAAGTGTATCCTGGAAAATCTGCCACCTTTTGCTGTATTACTTCCAATGTCGGAACCTTGTTCTCCTTATATAAACTATAAATTGTCCTTCGTATAAAATCTTGGGTAGCTCTGTCAACTGATTTCAGTTTTTCTTTACATGTTTTTCGGTTTTATGAATAATCTGCAGCAACCCCTTTCGTGACTACCGAATAAACGGAAAATTTATTTACCTTAGTTAATTCAGCAATTGTTATTATGAACGCATTATCAGACTGCTGAATATTTTCCTTTTTAGACATTCGAATATATTTAAAATAACTTGTTGTGTTTGTATATCTAAATCCTTATCGTTAAAGTCATACCTGTCTTTAATCTCACTACACTGTGCAATTTCATTTTCTTCATTCGCCCATGGTCTAAAGAACGCCATATTTATTTTTATTAAAAGAAATTTAAATTAAACCAACCACACATACAAAACACACTGCACGACAGTACTCCACTGATATCGCAGACTGTCTTCCAGGAATATTTTCGAACACCTGCCTTCCGTAAACCTTCGGCCAATACAGTGCATTTAAGTTTACGATTCGATGTTTTCATTGGTAAACAACTGATGGTTCGTTTAATATTTACCGCTTTGTATAAGGGGAGTAAACATTATTTTTCGTTTCTTAATTTGGCATGAGTACCGTGCGTATATATTAAATATTGATGATTCCCCACATAATTGTGTTCTGCAATTGATAATGGAAGGACTATACCTGTTTTGTGTATAACTTCTGTATTTCTTCTGTAAATCTCTGACCTGGGGTTATTTTCGTTTTTTTCTATAATTTCTCCTTCTTCCCATGATCTGTGTCTAATTTCGTATCTTATTTTGTTTCCGACTTTTATTTCTGGGCTGTCTTTTTTGTTTACATTACTGAGTTGTCTTTGTTTGTTCCTTAATTATTCTAATTCTTCTGTGATATTTTCTTGTAATTTTGGTTTCAACTTTTCCATTGATGCGGGGATGACCGATTTAGTAATTCTGCTAAATAGTCGCTGACTAGGTGATCCTAGTTTGTCTGATCGAGGAGTGTTACGATAATTTAGTAAGGCTAGTTCAACATCAGTATTGTCTACAAAACATTTTATCAGTATGTTTTTTGCAATTTCTGTTAGACCATTCCCTCTCGGATGATATGGTGATGATGTTTGATGGTTAAAGCTCCACTTACTTTTAAAATTTTTGAACTCTCTTGAGGTATAGTTGGAGCCGTTGTAACTCTCAAGAGTGTCTGGTATTCCATGGGTTGAGAACCATGTTTTTAAATGATTAATTACTTCACTTGAAGTTAAATTTTTACGTTTTTTTAAATCTACGTAGCCGGAGTAGCTGTCTATTATACAAATGTAATGACTGTCTTTAAATTCAAAAATGTATGTAGCGACTATTTCCCAGGGTAGTGTAGGTATTTGTTTTTTAAAACAATTTCTTTAATGTTTGATTTTTGTGTGCAATTTAATATGTGATTCACTATGTCATTATTTTGCCCTTTCCAATATAAAAAATTAGCGAGCTCTCCTGAGGCAACTTTGAATACCTAAATGTCCTTTTTCGTTAGGGAACCCTTGTGCAATCTAGTTAATTAATGTCTGTAATTGTTGGTCTTTCTTTGTAGTGTCTAGCAGCAATTCGTTAGCGTTTTTTAGACATTGATAAAGTTATTTGGACTTCTAATTCTTCTTTTTCTTCCTCTCTGATCACTTGCGGCTCACAATCCCTGCTAAGTATGTCAGCTATCGAAATATCTCTACCTTTGGTTATACACTACTTTTGGTGCGTACTGTATGATGTCGAAGAGAATTCTTTGTAGTCTGGGTGGAGCTACTTGAATTGGTTTTTTTAAAATCATTTCTAGTGGTCGATGATCTGTTTCAATTGTTAGTTTTTTCCATAGATGTACTCATGGAATTTAGAACAACCAAATCTAATTGAATATGCTTCCTTTTCTATTTGCGGGTAGTTCTGCTGTGAATTTGTTAGAGACCTGGTGGCATATGCTACAGGTTAGTTATCTTGCAGCAGAACTGCACTTACACTTTTGGATCTAGCATCGACGGATAGCATAACTTCTTTATTGACATCGTAATACCTTAATACAGGTGATGTGGTTAAGCGTTTCTTTATTTTCAGGAATGAATTTTCTTGCTCAAAATCCCAGGAAAATTCTACATCTTTTTTCAGTAGTTTTTGTAGTGGTTCTGTTAATTCTGACATATTTGGAATATATTTGTTTAGATATGTGACCATGCCAAGAAGCCTTTGGAGTTCTGTTTTGTTAGTAGGTGTTTTTAGGCTATTTATTGCTGATACTTTCTCAGGATCTACTGACAGTCCTTTTGCAGACAATATGTGTCCTAAAATTTTTACATGTTTTGCTTCAAAGATGCATTTGTCTCTATTCAGTTTAACTCCAGCGTTCTTTAGAATCTATATGACTCTTTGGGTGATGTTTCGTAGGTTTTCTTTAGTATCCGCATAGATCAATATATCGTCTATGGAACAATCTGTGTTAGGTATATCTTTTAGTAGTGATGTCATGATTTATTCCGAAGGGTAGGCGTGTGCAGCAGTACCTGCCCCAAGGCGTAGTAAATGTTAAGTAGTTTTGTGTTCTTTCTGAGACTCTAACCTGCCAAAACCCTCTTTCTGCATCTAGTAGACAGGATACATTGATTCGGGCTGATATTTCTTCCATAGTTTTTAGTGGATAATGTCTGCTTAGTATGTTTTTCTTTACATCAGTTGGATCGATATAGATTCTATTTTTTTCTTTTTGTCGTACTATGACCATGGGGCTAACCACTGGTGTAGGTTCTTCAATTTGTTTTATTATTCCTAACTTTACCATTTTGTCTAATTCGTTTTTGACGTCTTCTCTCAAAGCATATGGTACTCTTCTTGCAGGTTGTAATTCAAATGTTGGGTTTTCTATTAAATTCATGTCTTATATGAAGTTCTTGATACATCCTAGGCCATTGAACATAACATCCTTTTGGCAGCCAAATTTAACTTCTTGAACTCTTACTATTAATCCAAGGTCGTGGCATGATTTTCTCCCAAGAATTGGTGGAACTTCTTCATCTACTACTTTAAATAAAATCGTTGTTTCAGAGTTCTTTACTTGACATTTTATTGATGTTTCCCCAATAACTGAGATTTTATTTTCACTGAAAGTTACAAGTCTTGGTATTTGATGACTTTATTTCTGACTTGGAATTTCGTCTTATTCACTTTAATTATCTCATGCCAATCTTCATCATTTCCTTATATAATTGATCTGATGTACAAGATTTCTTTATCTTCGCTTTCTGTATCACTTTCTATCGTGTTGACTTTTTGGGACCCTTTTTTCTTGGACCAACATTGAGTACTGAAATGACCTTTTCTGTTACACAGCTCACATCTATTTTTGTAGGCTGGGCAACTTCGCCTCTGGTGCTTTGTAGCACATCTTCTGCAGTTAAAGGTTTCTGTACTGTTTTCGGATTTTCTCTGCTTATTTTTTATAAAATTTATCTGGCTTGATGATTCTGCACCCTGAACTTCTCTAAGCTGTTTGTTTGCTTGTTCGTTTGCCCTGCAGATGGCAACTGCTTTGTCTAGGTCAATATTATCTTCTGCTAGCAGTTTTTCTCGTACATTGTCAGAACTTATGCCAAAAATGATTTTATCTCGAAGCAGGCTGTCATGTAAGTTACTAAAATCGCACATTTTAGCTTGTGTTCTGATGCAAGTCAAAAATTCATCGAATGTTTCGTCTTCTTTTTGAATTAACTTGAAGAAGTTTTATCTTTCAAATGGGATATGGATTTTTGGGCTAAAGTAAGTATCGGATTTTTTCTTAATGATTGTTAAATCCTTTTGTTGGGCTTCTGTTAGGTTGAAGTTGTTGTAGGTATATAGTTATGACTTCTGGGCCAATAGTTGCTATGAACGTGGCTGCTTGAACTTCTACCGGTTTTTTGGAGAGCTGGCTGGCTATTGCCTACCACTCAAATTGCTCTATCCAGTTCTTCCACATAATCGTCATATTATCGGGGCTCAACGCGATATTTTTGGGGGGGGGGCGAATGCCTGGAACGCTTGGTACATATTTGGAATATTTAGGTTAGGTTCTGGTGGCGGTACCATTTTACTATTTTGATGCCTCGTTTAGCTTTATAATATTCTTTTCCACCACTTCTGACACCATCCCAGATAGCACACGACGTCTGAAAGACGTCTTTTTTGTGTCTTGGTTTGGTCTCAATGTCCTAGGACGTTATTAAGACGTCTTATAAGACGTCTTTCAAAAGCCATAATTCAGACGTATTAATGTGAGAGCTCAAAGACGTTCTTAAGACGTCTTAAAGACGTCTTGCCAAATCTATATATTATTGTGAAAGCTCAAAGACGTCTTTAAGACGTCTTACAAACGTCTTTCAGTCGGACGGAAACTTGCACGGTTTACATAATTCAAATTTAACAAGAAGAATCAAATGAAGTGAAGTTTGACGTTTGATTTAACATTATATTCAAGCCGGACTTCCGATTCGGACAACATCGTGGCAATATTGAAATGGCGTTCTCCGAATCGGGAGCCAAGAAGTCCCATAAAAATCACAAAATATCTAGTATAAAAGTGACCATCCGAATTTAAAAAGTATACAAAATTAAACAAAATATTCAGTGTAATATTTGGAGAAGACAATTGAAATCAAATATCAAGTGCAGTGGAAAAGTGAAAACGAAGAAAAGAAGAAATACATTCAAGCCCAAGCCAAAAATTTGTATGGCCCAAGCTCATTGTGGATTATTTTATTGCGTACACGATTATAGCCACCAAAAGCGACTTTGGGCTATTTTGAGCATTTGCCTCTTTCTACTTAAATAATATGGGACAAAAACCAGAGAGGGAAGAATAGTTTGTGTTACCGATGTAGCACGTTCCTGGAATACAGGTAATAAATGAATATTTGTTTATATACATAAAACATTAATATCATGTATCTTCTAAGAATAATTAAATTAATTTAAAAGTAAACATCTTAATATAAGATTTAATTCAGATATTCGTCAAGTATCATTTTTGTTTTGTTTTTATAGAGATTTTGAGAACTAATAATATCAAAAACTCCCTATTAGATAGCCATTTTCAGTGAAGTTAGAGTAAAATTGTTAAAGTAGGCGATTAAGCTTAATAGCTCATATTGCATTAAATGATTATAAAAATTCTTTGATTTAAAATTCTAAGAAATTAATTTTTTGTTTTATTTTATAGATAACTGTTTTGTCGTTTTTTACTAACTTTTGCAAAGTATAATTTTCTGTGACTAGATGCTCTTAACTAAATTTCTTTTTAGGAGCTATACAAAGGCAACTACAAATCAAAGAGAAAAATCAATGCAGTTATGGCTAAAGAGGAGTGATCGAATGCGCTACAAAGAAAATAACTCTTAGTGACCTGTGATTAATAGATGTTTTATCAATAAATATTTTAATTCTATTTTTTGCATTATTTGCATTCTACTTTTTAATAACCAAGATATCCGACATCCTACGTTCATAAGACATCTTAAAGACGTCTTATTTATGGCTTCACAAGACCATTATAAGCCATTAATAAGACGTCTTAAAGACGTCTTATTTAATTAAGGCTTCACAAGACCATTATAAGCTATTAATAAGTCCTCTTAAAGACGTCTTATTTATGGCTTATTTAAAGCTTCACAAGACCATTATAAGCCATTAATAAGACGTCTTAAAGACGTCTTATTTAAGGCTTCACAAGACCATTATAAGCTATTAATAAGTCGTCTTAAAGATGTCTTATTTATGGCTTATTTAAAGCTTTACAAGACCATTATAAGCCATTAATAAGACGTCTTAAAGACATCTTAGTTATGGCTTATTTAAGGCTTTACAAGACCATTATAAGCCATTAATAAGACGTCTTAAAGACGTCACTTTTTGTAACATCAGACGTCTTCTAAGACGTCTTAAAGACGTCTTTCAGGAAATACCAGACGTCTTAAAGACGTCTCGAATGTCTTATGCTAGACGTCTTAAAGACGTCTTTAAGACGACTTTGTGCTATCTGGGATGTAACGTTATGATGCGTTTGGTTTATATAATAAAACTAGATGTTTATTGAAGAGTGAATTATACTTTATTGTCGAACGTACAACAACGAAGTAGGCAACTTTATGTACACATCATGTTGTGGTTACGTTGTCTAAATGTAGGCAACTGGCAATACGATGTGTACATCGTTGCATAGACTTTGTTATGTAATTTTTTATTTGAGTATCTGATCGATTTGTTGGATAAACATATTTTTTTGTTTTTTATGTTTTTTTTTATGTTTTTTTTATGTTTTTTTATGTTTTTTGTTTTTTTTTGTTTTTTTTTTATGTTTTTTTAATGTTTTTTTTTTATGTTTTTTTTATGTTTTTTTATGTCTTTTTATGTTTTTTAATGTTTAGGTTCAAATATTTCGACAGCATCAGATATTGAAACCACAAGCTACGTTCTTTTGTCACTCTTACATCAAAATTCTTCAGAATACTTGGCTAATGCTCTGTCAGTAGTACGTTGGTTATCATCTAAGTATGGTGCTAAAGGGAGTTTTGTAAGCACTCAGGTAATGAAGTAATAAAAATTTACTATACGTCCAAAAATATATTTATAAAATACTTAACTTGTCTTTTGTTGTATTGAAACAACGTAGTATTATTATATGTAATAGTTATTATGATTATGATACAAATGTTAGGCGTCCATATTTATTTTGAGAGAAGGTAAGATTTTTAGATAAGCGGATGATGTTCAAAATCACTTCTAACTTTTGGCAAAGACGTCACAAACATCGCATGAAAAAGTCGCCCTTTAAATCAAGTGAACCTGACGTCTACTCGTTAGATGTACCTATGATGTACCTTCCCAATTATCTGAAAATAGATCACATATTATAACATTTGTGACATTTGGAATTTTGTAATTTTGTAGAAAACCAGAGATAAGATAAATTTTATACATTTTCTTAATTTTTTAGTTTAATTTTTGTGAACTTTATACGAAAGTAAAAAGATACAGAATAATTTGTTCCACTTCAAATACCTTGAACTTAGTGCATAATAGATTTGCAAAGATCGATGATTGAGATGCGTCCTAAGCAAATAAAATGTTAATCCTTTCAAAAAAATATATACGCACATTTTGTTTAATGTTTTAACACTAATAACAAAAGCAAAATATTTTTTTATTTCTAAAAATTAATTGTTTTGCAGGACACTGTGGTAGCTTTAGATGCCCTCTCAAGATATTTGCACTTAGTTGAATCGACTAACTTAGACCTGATAATGTACATTCAAACGCCAGACAACAAACATAATTTAACTTTGACCAATAGAGATAGTTTGAAATCAAGAAGAGTTACAATGAGAGCATCGAATGGCACGGTTTCGATTAAAATTTCTGGTACAGGATGCGTCCTTTCCCAAGTAAGGATCAATATATATTAATTTATAGTGCTATTTTGTAAGTAACTTCTTAGAATTTAATAGTTTGTTATGAAAATGAAAATGAAAATCATATTCTGTTACTGAAAGTTTCTTTACTTGTTACATTCTGATAAATAATATTGACAGAAGAACAACTTTATCACAATCAATTATAAAATTTATGGCTATCTACGAGACGGGAGTGATATTCACAGGGAATGGCCAGTAGCAATTACAAAATGAACATTTTGGCACTAGAGTTAGAATGCAATACGTGTAAAATACGTAAGAAGCAAGTGTTAGCAAGAGCAAGAATGTTTTCTTTCTGTTATTATAAGTGGTTTCGAAAGAACTACATTCAGCATGATCGTGAAAAAATAATTTTCTATAGGTATTTTTTCTTTGCTAATATTAAAATGCCTATCGAGGTATCTAACCAAAAAAGTAGTTTACTGGAGGGAAACAAACGCTCCTTAATTTTAATTACACAGACTTTGTTTTTCTTCTTGTTGTTATTGAGTACGTGCATCGGAAATTTACTAGCAACTTTCTCATCCGGTTTTTTTTTTGTATTTTCACATTGGACTTAAAATGAAAATAAATAAATAAATATTTATCAGAAGTCAATTTGGTGAATCATTTTTATTAAGATTTAAGACAAATTATCCATCAACTCCTTACATTTATTGACGACCGTGACAAGACAGTAAAACTCCAGAAACGTGTGAGGCATTAGACCTACTCGTAGCACTAGCAAATAAGATAATCAAGATGGAAGAAGTGTTAGCTTTGATAAAAAATTTAGAAGGTAAAGGTAATAGAATTTTTAGTATAGATGAAAATATTCAGCAAGGCCTATTCCTAGAAAAGGCACCAAAATAAGATTTAGAAGAGGAATTTCTAGAAGCAAAAACATTTAGAGATAAGATAAACTACTATAAAGTACAATGCGACTTTGCTATTCAATAAAGAGATCAAGAAGAATCAAGCACGAAAGATACGGGTAGGATGAAAGGCAAAAGAAAATTCACTTTACCGAAAATCGAATTAAGAAAATTTGATGAAAATGTTAGAAATTGGATAGAATTTTGGGGACAGTTTAGGAAAATCGACAAAGATGAAGAAATTGATTTGGATGACAAATATCAGTATTTACTTCAAGCGACAGAGAATGATTCATCAGCAAGAGAATTAGTTGAAAGTTTTCCGCCATCGGGGTCCAACTATCAAGAGGTACTTGACCAAATGAAATCACATTTCGCTAGGAACAAACTTTTTATTGAAGTCTACGTAAGGGAATTCCTAAATTAAGTACTTATACAAAGAAAGAAAATCAACTAAAAGCATTAGGAAGTCTAGGGGTAACTAGTGAAAAGTATGCCGCAATGTTACTCCCGTTAGTTAAGTCAGCATTGCCAGAAGACATTTTAAGAATTTGGGAGAGACATTGTAGTTTAAATAAATATACAGCAGAAGATAATAATACAGTCAATATTTGTAATTTTTTTCAAGCATCAAAAGTTTCCAGTTCTACGTCCACAAAAGAGAAACAGGAAAATAAGGCGGTACAGAGTAAGGATAAAACATACATCCGCAGCTCTATATAGAAGTAATTTTCAAACCAGAAAAGCTGTGAGCTGTTTATTTTGTAATTCAAATTCGCATCTAAGTCAAAATTGTTTCAAAGCGCAGAACATTTCTTTAGAAGATAGAAAATCTAAAGTTATGGCTAAAAAGTCATGCTTCAGCTGTTTAAAAGTAAATCATACTAATACATTTTGCAAATGTTTCGTTCGTTTTATAGTTTGTTTCAGAAAACACTTTCCTATAATGTGTCCTAATCTAGTAGAGAAAAAAGATACTCATCATGCCACAGTTTCTTCCAAACCTTGAAATGTTGAAAATACTTTAACATGTAACATACAAAGTGGTACCTTTTTACAAACCGTTTTAGTAATATTAATAAACAATGGAAAAGAGTAAGTTATTCGCATACTGTTGGACTCTGGTTCACAAAGATCATATATTTTATCTAAATCTGCTAAATAATTAGGTCTGCTTAAAAATAGAGAGAATATTTTTGGAGGCAATCAAACGTTACTAAAAATTCATGGAGTCTATGACCTACATATCCAAAATTTAGATAGAAATTTTAAAGTCAATGTAACAGTTTTAGCTCAGGAAAAAAAATTGCAATCATATTCCTAGAATAAACAATTAAAATTACTTACATTGTTTGAAAAGTAAGAATATTTTAATAAATGATACAGATATGATACAGAACTGTTCGCCAGAAATTGAATTATTACTAGAGATATTTTTGGAAAATTATTAACAGGGAAAATAGAAAGTTTGGAAGATGATCTTGTAGCTATTGAGACTTACCTTAGGTAGACAATTATGGGTCAGTATTGTAACGGTACAAATACAATTTTTTCTGGTGTTGGTAGTTTTTCGAAATCTAATTTATGGAATTTAGAACTCTTAAGTATATCAGCTCCATCCGAAGTAAAAGGTAAACATTGCGTGGAAGAAGATACGTTGAAATTATTCAATGAGCAAATAGTAATTAATCATAAAGGAAGATATGAAATTTATCTTCCATGGATTGAAAATAATGTGATGGTTTTAAGCAATGAAGAATTAGCGGTCTCTAGACTGCAATCTACCAGCAAAAAATTGATTTCAATTAATAAATTTAAAGATTATGAAAGAGTTTTGGAGGAATGGGAAACATTAGGAATGATAAAAATAGTCCCAAGTAACCAGGGCCGCCGGGTAGCCAGGACTAATTCCCGGGGCCCGGACTGAAATGGGGGCCCGGCAGCGGTATAAGGGGGGCCCGGCAAAATATTTTTTGTATTGTATCAGAAATTCGACACAAAATGAGAGGGGGAAGTTTTAAGTATAGCAGGAAAAGTTTCTGCTTGTGTGCTTGAGGACCTTCCTTTTTTTTAGAAAATTCAATTCAACTGGAAGAGAAAAGTTTTTTTTTGGTCACGGGGCCCGGTTTAGAGAATTGTCCTGGGGCCTGACCTGGCTCTCGGCGGCCCACACACTATCTAGCTCATCATGCTGTACTGAAGGAATCCAGCCAAACAACGAAGATTAGTCCAGTGTTCGATGCGCCAGCTAAAGATTTAAGAGGTAATTACAGAAAGAACCTAATTTATTAGAACTCATTCCCTTACTCATATTAAAGTTTAGAATAGGTTTAATAGGAGTTACAGTCGACATTAAAAAGGCTTTCTGACAAATTAGTGTCACTACTAAAGATTTTTTTGGTGGAAAAACTACCCACTTGAAAAAAAGAAAATAAATATATATATAGACACTGTAGGGTAGTTTTTGGCCTAAAATCAAGCCCTTTTTTGTTAGGTGCAACAAATAATTACCATTTAATGATTCCTTTAAGTCATTTCAAGCAAACAGCAAGAAAACTTCAAGAATCGTTTTACGTTGACAATTGTGTTACAAGTGTTAACACATCAGAAGAAATGGAAAAATTCATAAGAGAATCAAAAGAATTAATTTCATTGGGAAAATTTAATCTCAGGGAATGGAGGCATAGTTTAGATAGCATCGATAATAATTATTCAGATGAATATTGTATTAGGAATATTATGGATGTATTGATGTGCGATACAAGTATGATTAGTCAAATAACCGGGACTCCTAGGACCAAAAGAGGATTACTTTCAGCAGCTCAGAGAATATTCGATCCTATTGGGTTTACTTATCCCTTTACCTTGGTTCCAAAATTATTGTGGCAAGAAACCTGGTTATTAGTAAGTAATTGGTTGGGACATGGAACTGCCTGTGAATGTTATCAAGAAATTTGAACATTGGATGAAAGAAATTAACTTTTTAAATTATGAATAATTCCTAGACGTTTGTTCAAGTAAATTAGCCTTTGTTTCCTGTATATTTTTGAGAACAAAATTTAATGATGATATCATTTTGCAATTGATTCAGGCAAAATCAAGATTATACCATAGAATATTGCGATTCCAAGATTAGAGTTACTTAGCTGTTTTATTGGGATTAGATTATGCCAGAGTATTAGGAAAGTAAGAGAATTTTCAAATTTGTCTGTATTTTACTAGAGCGATTCTATGGTGAGTCTAACCTGGATAAAGACACGAGGTAATTGGAAAACATTTGTACAGCATCGAATGAATGAAATTAATGAATATTCAAACACTGAACAGTGGAGACACGTTCCTGGCAGCATGAATCCTGCTGATATTTAACTAGGGGTTGTACTGTTAAAAGCTTAATGGAGAATACGTGGTGGAATGGACCACACTCGTTAAAACAGAACTGGCCACATAAAGAGATTATACACCCAGAATAAGAAGAAGAAGGAGAAGTTACTTAAGAAAAAAAAATAACTACATGTAAGTCTTGAAAAAGAAAGAACAAAAAATAATGAGCATTTTTAAAATAAAGTATGATTATAAGAATGCTAGCTTGGATATACCGCTTCTATTATAATTCTTCAAAGAAAAAGATGAAGAGTGGAGAGTGGAGAGTTAACGTACGATAAGGTTAAAGAAGCTGAATACAACATAATAAAGATGATCCAAAAAGAAAGTTTTGAAAAATGAGATTTAACAAATTTACAAACATTTGAAGATGAAAGGGAAATTTTAATATTAAAGTCGAGATTAAGATTTGCAGATACATTCGAAGACTTTAAATATCCTATTTTGCTACCGAATAAACATATTATTGTTAAAAGATTAATTTTAGAAAGAGTGAGTAGTATAACCGCCCTCGAAAATTCTGGTGTTGATCTAGCAGGGCCATTATATTTAAAAGGTGGACAGAAGGTATGGTTCGTTTTATTTACTTGTGCGTTATATAGGGTTATCCATCTAGAACTAATTAAATCTCTTTCAACTTACAGCTTTATTTTAGCTTTGAGGAGATTTATTGCTAGAAAAGGAAGAATGACTGTCATTTATTCAGATAACGGGACTAATTTTATTGGTGCTCAAAATATGCTGAAACAAATAGATTGGGAAAAGATTTCAGAATATTCTTCAGTTCAGAAAATCGATGGATATTTAACCTTTTAGTTCAGCATAGTGGGGTGAATGGTGGAAACGGATGGTTAGAATGGTAAAAGAGCTATTAAGAAGAAACAGGAAAATAATCATTAGAATATGAAGAACTGGTAACTCTATTATGCGATGTGGAAGCAATGATAATTAACAGACCATTTACTTATGTATCAGAAAATATAGAAGATTTGTTACCACTTAGACCTGTGATGTTTCTCCAAGGATTATCGACCAACGAAACTGTAGATTTAGACACCATCGATCGACACCATAGATGTAATATTTACAAACATTGCGAGATGATTTGAGATCTCGATTTAAAAAAGAGTTAAATATATCGTATTAGTGGGATCCGATAATACTAAGATAATTGATTGGCCCTTTGGAAAGATTATAGAAGTTATTCCCGGAAAGGATGGAAAATTTAGAGTGGCTAGACAGCACACAGCGAGATTATGCGACCATTTCAAAGATTATACTCGATGGAATTAAACGCATTGGAAGATAGAGAATGGCTGGCAAGTGATGAAAGACAAAAGAAAAATAATTTTGCAACTCACGAAGTTATTCTGTAAGAAGATGTTCATCAAGTAGATGCTCCTCAAGAAGATACTGATCAAGTAGATGTTCCTCAAGTTGCAGATAAACGAGTTACCGTCACCAGAAAAGGACAGATTGTACGAGCACCTCAATGTTTTGGGTTTTAGTTATTATTTTATTTATATGTTACAATAAAAGGGGGGAGGATGTTAGAAATAGTTTCTCATCCAGTATATGTTTTTTGGTATTGTCACATTGACTTAAAAATAAAAAAATATTTATCAGAAATCAATTTGGTGCATCATTTTTATTAAGATTTAAGACAAATTATCCATCAACTCCTTACAAAACTACTATATCTATATATATTGAAGAAATTTAATGACAAAAAAATTACATGTATTTAAAGCTGAATATAATTTTGTATTATTAATATACCTACTGAAATATTATATTTTAATGTCGACTCTTGATTGGGAATTGATTTTGAGTTTATAGGTAATACAATCGTTTAACCTAAGGACAGTTCCCAGAAGCGAGGCATTCAAATTTGCCATGGAGGTATCTCCTGTTTCCACAATCAATCAATGTTCGATTAGCAGTTTATCACCTTGTTTGGCATACACCGCACCAGATGGACCGTCAAATATGGCCGTGATGGAAATTTCACTGCCAACTGGATATCAAGCAGACAGATCCTCTTTATACAAATTAGTGGAGTTCCGGAATATATCAAGTAAGACAGGATGATAGTGATACAATACAAATTACAATTTCTAGGGACTTTAATGAGTTAGGATAGAAGCAATTGGTTAAGGGAGTATATATTGTATTTGATTTTTCTAAAATTTTTAAAAACTAATGATAATAATTAAAATATATTTGTCTTGAAATGGATCACAATAATATTCATATTATTTTAACGAAAACTCTGCATATAAGAACGACATTATTTTCATGTATTATTCATATTTCTTTATTAGTAAAAAACATTTATTGGAAACTATTAGGTGTTTTAATGTAGTATATAGTATATTTAACAGCATTATGTCGTGTCGAACGTTCACAGTGGAGTATGTATGCAGTGTTGTACCTAGGGATTTTTGAATTGTACAACTTTTAGTGTCAAAATTGTACAACCACTAATTAATCTTTTTATTAGAAGACTATGGCCTACTACTTCCCGATGCTTATAATTATTCTTTTTATTTTTTCAGTTTATTTGAAACATATTTTCGATGTAAAACGGTGTGCTTATTGGTTGCGAAAGGCGCCAAATTTAAATTTTTATTTTTTTATTACTTTTATTGCATACTATTTAAAGAATCGTAGACTTTTTGAGCGAAGAAAATCTTTTATGTACCCAATTTTACATACATATTTATCAACTTCAAATTGTGCCAAATTTCTGTCTTTTTCAAAATTGCGTAAAAGAGTACAACAGATAACTGATTGTATAACTTTTTGTACAATTTTACAACCAGGAACAACACTGTGTGTATGTAGCGAGAGATGTAGCCGACCTCAATTCATGTTGACTGTCCGAAACTTGAAATTGGAGTGACGATCGATGAGTGAGAAAATGAATTGTACCGTAGTAGGCGACGCAGCATACATTAAAATGTAAATGTGCCCAGCCAATAAAAACGCTCTGGCATTGGCCAGGGCGTGGCCTATGTACCGCCAAATTCAAAATTCTCATTGATGTAGTTATACGGAATTTTTGTTTTAATGAAATATTTTTAGGTAAGTTTTGTGATATATTTAAATATTTTAAATTTTAGATGAAAAAATCTGCATTGCATACATAAAATAAATTATATAGTGCGTTTATAAAGTGTGGAAACAATCCGTTGTCTTAAAAGTTAATTATTTGCAGAGCTAAAGACTCTGGTAGGACAATTTTTTATTTGATTATTTTTTTGTTGCTTCAAAAAACAAATATTATTTCCATTACCTTACATACGACCTGTGAAAATAATGAACACTGTATAATAGAATGTGATTATTAGAATTATTAATTAATATCTATTTTGATACTTATTACTGATGGAAGTTATTTTTTATATGTATATTGTAACCTTCTTTTAGATTTCTACGATGTAAATTGTACTTAAGAGGTCATTTAGCTCAAATTGCTGATACTGCGTAAATTCATAAATTGACTAGGACAAATAAAATCAGAGTAGCTTGACCGATTCGCGGACCACAGTCTACTTTACGATAAAATGAAAGATATTATAATACGATAACGACAAAAAAATGTTGAGGGCCACCAAGTTTTTGAGTAACTTGGAAAACTTATCTGATTTGATATGTCCTGTTTAATTGAGTCAGTCTCTGGTACTTAAAGTTATCTGCATGAGTTCCGGCAAATAAGAGAAAGTGAGAAAATTTATTACATTTAATAAAAAAGTAAAAAGAATGAAATTTTACATAAAATAAATTAATAGTTAGTGATTAAATCTGAATAGAAAATGAATTAAAATTGACTGATAGTTTATTTGAATAAATAAAATTTACTGTAAGATAATAAGATAATTATTAATTGTCCCAACCAAGAAACCAGAAACGGCCAAACACATACTGTGCGAATGCGAAGCTCTAGATCGCAAAAGACAGGCTCTTTATAGACAACCCCAGGTTAATCCAACAACGTATAGAACCCACTCACCCAATGATCTGTACAAACTTGTACAAGGTACAAAGGTGACAGAGTGGGTGCTATGAACTAACATGGGGTAAAACACAATAAGCCAATAAGCTTCAGAGACACATAATCAGACGAGCCCAGGAGAAAGAAAAAAACCATGTGGCATTCTAGTACAGTAAGTACGGTACTTCCCTTTTGTATGTCGTGTCGTGGACAATCCGCCTTTAGGTACTTCGATACTTGGGGCTTGGAGCTCGAAACTTGGAGAAACTACGTAACTCGGACTCCTTGTTTCTTAGAGCTAAGATCCTGGAGCAACTACGTAACTCGGTACTTCCTGTTTCTCAAAGTTTAAATCTTAGAACTTCCTGGAGCAACTACGTAACTCAGTAATTTCTGTTTCTCAGAGCTTCTAGGAACAACTAGGAGCTTCTTGACTTCTTGGGGCTTCTTGGAGCTTTTTGGAGCTTCTTGAAGCTTCTTGAAGCTTCTTGAAGATTCTTGGAGCCACTACAGGTTTAAAAATAAAAAGAACCTTAGTAACGTATGTAAAAGTACATATACATGCTAGTTTGGAAATCTAACGGATTTATGCATAAACGGAACAAATATTAAAGTTACATCATCTGAACAGAATATAAAATATCACGACAAATATTAAAGTTACATCATCTGATCAAAATATAAAATATTCATAAGGCCAAAATAAGTTATAACCTTAAGTTTTACATCATCTGAACAAAATATAAGCTATTTATAAGGACAAAATAAGTTATGAGCCATAAATTTCCTTTTAAACTGTATTTCCAGACTGACTTGTAATTCAATTATTTAGTTGCCTCCCCGCGTATACATATATGAAAGTATCGAAAAATAACCTAACAATATTATTAGTTAGGGTAGCTATAATCTATATAAAATAAAGCAGTAATAATAAACCGGCATTCGTCCGCATGGTGGTAATAAAAAAAAGCAAATGGCCGATCTTTTCGGTTTTACAACGAAATCCAGCAAATTGTGAATAATATAAGGCGATAAAAACATTACCTGACAGTTATCCCAACGTTAACACACATAAAAGACAGATAATTACCAGCAACTCATTTAATACATTTATCGGAACAAGCTAGCACGTTGAATTCGATACACCAAAAAGACCGGTTGAATCCAAACGAATCGGTTTTATGACGACTGGTTGCCCAAAAAAACCCTATGGACCGTGCGCAGACGGTGCTTTCCACATTTCGAGAAGGAAGCGAGCGATGGTCGTTTACGTTGTGTTACGAGGGGTTATGGAGAGGTTGTTGTTAAAAATAAATTTGAAATTAATTTAAAATTAATTTCACCTAACACCATTTTTAGCATAAACGAATACAATGAAGCATATATGTTTACTAGGTTTATTTAAAACATTTAAATACAAATGTATTAAAATTAATAATTAAAAAAAAAGTGTATGTATATTTTTAATAAGATCGAAATTTCTTCGATTTGTTCCATGTGTTCCATCAATACAAATATTCCTTTTAAAATCTCTTTTACATAATACCAATTATATAACCCACTGCAAAATATTCATTCTTTAATCCAGGGTAACTTTAACCTGAAAATAAAAACCTTCACCATCTACACCTTAACCCTATAAAAATTGTTTATTTTTAATAGTATTTTTGTGTACATACCTACCAGTTCTTTTGAATAAAAATGAATGGTTTTTTCCTTGCCTTTTCCATTCTTCGATTTAGTAGTAGCTGTCATATCATCAATGTTCTTTTTTTGCAATATTAAACTTCATTATTAAATAGGCTAAGTCTCCTCACGTTATCAAGTTTATTCTTTCTATTGTATTATTTTAGATTTTTCTAGCATCTTGAATTATCCTGTTTGTCACCCTTGCAGCTAATTGTCCAAATAAAATATTTTCTTCAGCATTTGACAGTCGCTTTGTTCTTAGCTCATCTGCATGTCGTACATGAGTTTGAAGAAATTTTACTTAAACTAATCCTAATAAAAAATATTAATTAAATTAACAATAATAAAATTATTAAGTAAGTACTACTAATTACCATTTGTTGAGACTCACTAGAGTTCATATTCCCCAGATTTTCATATTTCAGACACATGAGCTACTAAATCCTAAAAATAAATGTATGAAAAACACGTTTAACATGTAAAAGTTGATATAGCCACTGAAATCACTTCTATTACAATTGTGAACTATGCGTTCTTCACCTTTATTAACCATAATTAACTTCCCTATTTTCCTGTGCTCTCCAAAATGTAAATTTTTCAAAATTCCCAAAATTTGATCTTAATAGTTATATGGTGAATATCAAGCAAATATATCTTTAAATAATAATTATAATAAGAAAAATTCTCTATATTGCTACACATTGGACAAATATGTTTATTTTGTTCCTGTCCAGTAGATTCTTGGTAAAATTCCCCGTTTCTGGTAGATGTACAATTTTACAAAATTCACAAATCACATTTTCTTATTAACTGCAAAATAATGTTTAGTTTATGTTCAAAATTTAAAATGCTGAAAAGTTAAGTAAATTAATTAGTGAATTTCAAAACTAGTGTAAAACTAACCCAACTCAGATATAGTAAATATTAAAATTATTAAAATTGCTATTGTATTTATTTTTTCGACTCTAATATGCACTTAACAAACAATATTATATATCCTATAGATTTTTAGATTTAGATTATCAAAAAGGTTAGGTTATGTTAATTACCATCAAATTACAAATCTCCAAGGAAATACGAAGTACACGTTACTTAACGAAGAATCATTCGATCGGCTGGAGCATTATGAAATCTGATTGGCTGGGCATGTTTACATTTTAATGTATGCTAGGCGACGCAAGGCTACTTGTCATTTCTTGTGTGAAGAGAGCGTGTCCAACTGAAGAGCATTACATCAGCATGTGAAATTAATTAGAAATATTTTTTGATTCTATTAAGTAGAAGAGAGAGCTAGAGAGAGAGAGATGAGCTATGTAAGAGATAGAGTATAATCTGAAATGCAGCTTAATTTATGGTCTACATCGTATCTTTCAGACAGGAAGCAAGCTGTTAATTTAATTGGTCAGTTTCTTCACTTACTTGCTGTTCAGCATGCAGGTCCGCAAGCCATAAGCCATAAGCTGTTGTCATATGCCTATTTCATTATTCTCGTTTTGTTTACAAAATTATTTACATATATTAAAAAAGCTAAAATAATTCAACCTATTTTATTGCAACTGAACCCAAAAACATTTGAATCATTAGCTATATTAAATTTAACTAAATTAGATGTAATTTCACTAAATTAGATGTAATAATGTTCAATAAATTCCAAAACCTAGTCATGTTAGGTTGAAAGTGGCAAGAGGGCTTACACCGGCATGGATATTTACGTTGTTTATTATAATAGACCGTCAGATAGTGACAGGTTCAGGTGCCCCATTTTCGCATACAAGCCTCGAAGAAGGTTGAAAAATACATCGATTTTAAGTAGAATGAAAGGAAATTTATGTGTTTCCCATTTTTCCACACTATATGATTATTTAATAGAAGTAGGCTTCGGAAAACCAAAACCTTTAATGTTGCAAGTGGCTAAAGGGTTGAAATAAGGGCGTAATCTTCTAAGGAGAAATCAAGATTTAGCTCGATTTTTCCACACAAGCCCATCGAATGTATGAAAATGTACGTCGTCACAGTAAAGGAGCAGCAACAGTTCTACATGTTAAACATGTTAAATCCCATAAGAAATCGCTAAGCTTCATTCTGACAATTTTTACAGTAAAGTCACACGTCGACGACCTTTTTTTTGTGTCATCGGTATCAACTGCTACGGTTATTAGCCTCGTGTTCTGTGTAGGCTTTGTTACTGTTTTCTAGCGCCACTTTAGGAACAGCACTGTTAATTAGTACCCAACAGTGAATGGTCGAGTGGGGAATCCTACCAAGGCATCAGAATTAATTTTAAATAATTAAATTAAATGAAAAATCCCGGGCAACGGGAACCTGGGACCCTTGGATCCTCAGGCAGATACTCTACTACTGAGCCACCCACCCCGTGATCTTATCAGTAACTAACTTTTTTGCCACCAACCGTAAAAATTGCCAGAATGAACCTTAGCGATTTCTTATGGGATTTAACATGGGGCTTGTTTTAGAACTGTTGCTGTTCCTTTACTCGTCATTATTCCGAAAAAGATATTTTCTTGAATGACCCGAATGTATAAGTTCATTTTAGGGTTAGAAAATTTTTCTGATAAGGTAAATCGAATTTTCCATGTGTTATCCCCAAGAGCCACTTATCAATTTTCTTTTATTCAACTTAACATCGATGTAGTTTTCAGCCCTCTTTGAGGCTTACATGCGAAAATGGGGCACCTAAATCCGTCACTGTCTGACGGTCTATAAGCTCACAGTAGCTTTCACATTTATTTATTGATAAAAATAAGTTGTATATGCGTAAAATTATTCTCTTACTTCTCACCTTTCGTCTCCTCGCCGCGTCTCTACAAATAGAGTGTATCGATTGTCGAATTAATCTTGGCATCGTAGATATTATATTTTATCAATGAATGGTTATATCTCTGTTATCTGTGGTCTATCCCCTGGTTTGTCATATTCACTAGATATGATATGGGCCATATTGACCTAGTGAGAAGGTGTGTCAATATTGGAATGTACGCAAGGGCGCCGTTTCCAGGGGGACAATCCTTATAGGCAGGGTCAAAACGCCGCAGGCTGAAAGCCATGGCAGAAAACAAAAATCACTAATCCAGGGGGGTAGACATCCCCTTGTCCTCGAGTAGTGGTGCCCATGAATGTAAATTATTAAATTATTAAACGGTGAATCTGTTTTTTTTTTTTAGGAATAGAAATGTTTGAAGAAAGTGAAGACAAAATCAGTTTATACTTCACAAAATTAGACAAGCATCTTGTCTGCTTTACTTTTAATGTTCTTGAGAATTTTTTGATAGAAGGAAGAAAATATGCTATCATAAAACTATACGATTACTATAATCCCGAGTACGAATTTCAAGAATTCTACAATATAAGCGATGATTGTAGTAAACATGTGGAGAAATCGGAGATTCCTGAAATAATTGGTGAGAATAATAATTAAAATAATAAAATCAAACCTTGTAACAATTTATTAGTACTTCAGATTACAAGTTTTACCTAATTAATTTTTGAATTAAACTAACTCATAGCTCTTTAAAACAAGTGAAACTGTTCAACTGGATTAAATCAACATAAAATATAAAGAGTGACACTTAAAAAGAAAAAGAATTGTTTGGTCTGGCATTCGTGAATATTTCCAATACCTACTTTAAAATAATTCTTTCTGGATCACCCCATACAAATGTATGTTATTTTTCTTGTATTAAATCAAATCGTCTTTAAATTTATTGACATAATCATTTATTTAATAATTAGGAACCCCTAATATACATATAAAACACAAATTACAAAGCATAATAAAAAATATATATAAATACAATAAACAATTGCGAAAAATGGCAGTTATTATTTAAGTAAAAAAAAAATAAAAAAAGATAAATTAAATTCAACACAGTTAAACAATCGACTTCAAAAGCATAAAAAAGAATTTACATAAATTTACAATAAATGAAAACGAAACATATTGTTATATAAATAACTCCAGTTCATTATAAATACACACCAACTATAAGTCAGCTCATAAATATACCTATTTAACAGATCATGTAGGTAAAATTTAGTTATAGGTAAATAATATGTTTTTTATAAAAGTTGTAATATTTGTAATAGTATGTACAAAATTATTTATTGTTTCGGCCTTTACTTGATGAAAATCCATTTAATTTTGAAAGAGTAAAACCAAATTTGGTAGATTTTCACACTTTTATTTTAAAAATAAAAATTTAAAAAAAAAAAAAAAACACTAACATGACATATGTTTCGAAGTACAACTTCTTTTTCAAATGTGACTATTTACAATTCGGTATCCAATATATATACGAAATAATTTAACAAAACAAAGTACTTAAGAAAATTTCAAAGTTGTCTGTAAAAGAATGATTTTCAGCTAAAATATGATTTGAGTAAGTAGAATTATTTTTGTTTTTTGTATAGCTATTATAATGTTCGGAATAGCGTTTTTTGAAAGTACGGCCTGTTTGACCAATATACAATTTTGGACAACTACCACAATTTAATTTATATACCCCCGATTTATTATTAGGATTAATTTTACCCTTATTGTTTTTAATATACTTCCCAAGCGTATTATTGGTTTTAAAAGCTACGTTAATATTTTGGTTTTTTAAATATGATGATACCTTTTCACTAGGAGCTCCTATATATAGTTTATTTTGTAATGTTATTGATGTTTTCTTAAGTACTTTGTTTTGTTAAATTATTTCGTATATATATTGGATACCGAATTGTAAATAGTCACATTTGAAAAAGAAGTTGTACTTCGAAACATATGTCATGTTAGTGTTTTTTTTTTTAATTTTTATTTTTAAAATAAAAGTGTGAAAATCTACCAAATTTGGTTTTACTCTTTCAAAAGTATGTACAAAAAATGTCGCAGGAACTTTCCAGTCTTGGTATAACTAATAAATCAAATTTCGAGAAATTTAGTGAATTTCAGATTTCACATAACAAATTCAATCATTTCTGAGCTGTTTACCCTCTTCAAACGAGTCTATTTTATTAACAGGGGCTATAGCTCTATATATTTAGTTCTAAATTTCGATGATTGGCGAACACATGCCATAATACCCAGTTTTATAACAATAGTAGTAACCCTATCTTTTAGCGGGCTCGAAAAGCCGTTTATTGTATTAAATTTCTATTATTTTTTATTACAGAAACATCTACGAACAGTTCCCTACTGGATATTGAAAATACAACAGTGCCGGATCCAGTTACAAAATTATAAATTATTAATAAAATTATAACTTAAAATAAAACATTATTCTAGCTATATTAGTCTCTCATTTCCTTTGTATGTTTGCACAATGGGCATATATTTAACAAAAAAAAAAAACTTTTGGAGCCAACTCAACAAAAAACACTTGATTCACTCTCGGTTGGCTCCAGATTCAATAAAATGTCATTTCTACATTACAGATTTCGGTCATGCTTCATTCTCTTTTCATCATCGTTAATTCTTATTGTAATACCACTGATACATTATTGCCTTTTTAATTATTTATCCTTATTTATATTTTCCTACTACTTTTATAAAATCAGATGATGCTACTTTAATTTCACTTTGCCTTGTGTAATAAAATACAAGGTTCTTCAAAAATATTGAAACTTGTATGGATGGCTATCAACCAGAAGATGTAAATTATAAAATACAAAATTAACGGACCCAAAATTGTTAAGTGTTGTGTGTTTCAAAATGTTTATAAATTTTCTGTTAAATTTCATGTTTAGGAGTATTTTACCCATGTATATACAACATCTGGGTAAAATAAACAAAAGTAAATAAATATTGACCTAAAACGGCTTGTGTTTAATTCCTTCAGCAATACGTGTTTTTTCATCCCACTGTTGCAGCAACGTTGGTATCGGTGCGGTATCTACCACAAAGCACCTATCTTCTAGAGACCCCACGCCAATGGTAGACTTTTAAACCAAATTAGCGCCACCTTGAGTTTGGAGCAGGAACTAAAATGACAATTGACAGATGGCGGTAAATTCAAATTATAATTTTTAGTAGTAGGTAATAGTTCTAAATTAAATTTTAAATGATTTCCACATAAATTATTTTATAAAATTAAAGTATGGAACTAGTAAGTTCGAAACTTTTATTTTACAAAATAATTTAGGTGGATATGCCAAATTTAAAGAATTAATTTGTTATAATGGGTCTAATTTGGAGAGTTGGTTCTGCATATTATTATAAATAAGATATATCAATAAATAATAAATAGAACATTCTTAAAATATGTTTATTAATAACTTAAATAAATATTATTAGAACAAAATAAATACAAATAATAATAATACATTAAAATATCAATATATTGAAATGTGAAGTAGAAACTAGGATATAACATTTTATTAACACTAAAGTTATATTTTATAAATGTCTTTTTACCTGAAGGATAAATGTAATATAGGTATGGGATTAAAAGGTGAATCCTCTCTGTAACGTGTGGAGGATGGGTTACCCCCACGGCACTTATATCTCATTAGGCCCATTGTTCATCCTCCTAAGATGATAGGCACCTCCTAGCTCGTGAGCCAGGAAGGTGAATCCTTTTAACTATTCATTCACTGATATTTTCCTTCCAAATACAGATGGTATACTCTCTTATCTGAAAAATGACTTCGGAATTTAGTCCAGTGATAAATTGATTATCCGTTTGTCTTTTTATGATGCATGGTAAATTAATTAAGTTTTTCTCGAAGTTTTCAACGTAGCACCAAAATTATTGCAAAACACAGTAGGAAATAGAAAAGCAAAACAATTTTGCAAATAATTAAGACGAAACTATAAACAGAAACCAAAAGCCAAGGCCAACAATTAAATCACTAAAATCGACGGAAAAATGAGACTAACCAAAAACTTAAATAAATACACATCACATCATAGATTAGGTAAACATCACATCTTTGGATTCTTTGGTTGTTTTTCGCCCACAAAAACTAAAAATGGAGTATGAAATAATAATTTCACCAGTAGCCCCATCTAGAGTTTGGAGTCAATAGCATAAGAAATGTCAGGTGTCGGTTTTGACCTTGGTCATTCACGTGGAACCTCTATGTGCTTTGTGGTATCTACCTTTTTTTTTCATCAATCTATCACTGATGAACTAACAGCGCTGTCTTTTTATCAAACGTTGATGCAATCGATACAACACCATTTCAATGTATGGTTTTTCCGATTAGATGTGACAACTGACAACTATGGATTGCGGGAATTAATCAGAATTAAGGAGTTAATTAATTATTTTATTGTTTGTTTGTGGGAAAACCGGAAAAAATGGGATTTTAAAAATATATACGTCCAAATTAAAGTAAATAGGTACATTCAAATAAAATTATAAACAAAAATTTTAATCCAAAATGTCAACTGTTATTTATTTCAACGGTCAACCATAAATAAATCGAATCCAACACAAGACGTTCAAGGCCGCATTGGCGGAACAACGATTCCAACAAACCGATGGAAAAAAGACACACGTAATGCTAACGTACACCGGTGCTGTTTGGGAATGTATAACAAGGATGATATTTGTAACGAGAGGGAATTGCACAAATCGGTGAAGTTAGCCCTTATAATACAATCATATCATCCCCCTTATCAGGAATAGAAGTATCTGAATTATGCAATTTTTTCAAGAGAGAGGAAAAACAAAAATTTGTCTTTAATCCCAAATAAAATCCTTTTTTTATATATTTCAAATATACATTAATCTTGAATCAGATGTAGAAACACACTTGCTTTACAACTATTTACAAAAAAAATCTGATGTGTCCATTACATGACTTTCCTATCTAGTTATTAGAGGCTTTTTCCGGTTATTTTATACAATCTATTGCAGCCCCTCTATAAATTTTTAGAGCAGCGTTACTCAAAGTGTGGTCCGCGGAGCCCTTGGGCTCCGCAAAGCCTTTGTGGGGGCTCCTCGAAGCCAATAAGCAGTACCTATCGCTACAACGAGACTTTTTAGAAGAAGTAAATGAGTTTTGCTATTTCTTTTGTTTTTTGAGGTCAGGATGAGGAAGAATGGTTTTGGTTTTTTCGGATGTTTGTTTAGAAGTCAAGAAGAGGAAGGCGTATATGATTTTGGACATTCTTCGCGTGGGAATGTTTCGTATGGGCAATCTTAGTATGGAGCAGTCTTAGTATAAGTAGTCTTAGGTTGGGTCAGGGCCGGCCCCAGGGTAGGGCGATCCGGGCGGCCGCCCGGAGCGCAATGATCTAGGGGCGCCTAAATCATGGAAAATGAAAATAAACTGATAAAAAAAATTAAGTTACAAGCTTTTATAAAATGCACTAAAAAGTAAAGAATATTTTTTTATCATTCTGATATCATATCAATAAAATATTTTTCATAATATTTCATTGTCATCGGACCCTTGTAAGTATACTAAATTTCATTTAAATCGGTTCATAGGAATTTTCTCAAAAACGCGTTGCAAGATTTGACTGATAGTTGACAAGATTAAGAGGCGGCTGGCGGAATTTATCATTTTTATTTCTAAGCACATATTTTAAATAATACACTTCCCCAATAAATTAACGCACCATCGAAAAATAACAAAAAGTTTAAAGTAAATATTTGTCAAAACCACTTGTCTGTTTTGGACGATTTTTTTTTTAAATGACAGGTTGCCTCTTCCACATCGTCGGTTTGCTAACTGTAAAATCCTCTTTTTTATTAATACAGGTTGTAGCAATTATACCGTGATTTTTTCATAAAAGTTGTAACACCCTGTAGAGCGCAATAGTTACATTACCAAGTTCGCATTGATATCACAATTTAGCCTTATCTTCTCTTAACAATTTCATTTTTTATTTACTCCATTATGTTTCCTATTACACGAGAAACTCAATTTTATAACTTAACATGACTTTATTCATTTGCATTAGCATTATAAGCACTAAAGTAAGTAGCATGCTATGGAAAAACCAGTAATTGTCAAATACAGATGGGTATTGTCAGAATTTAGTCCATTCGCCATTTTTTGCAAAAAAAATTATTAAACAATATGCCACGAAGTCTTACTCGCGAAGAATGTGCTCAAGTTTTAATATTGTTTGAAGAGGGTTGGAGTTACCGAAGAATTGGTGAACGATTTGACGTAACCCACACAACCGTTTCACGAGTTATACAAAGATATAGAGAGACTGGAAATCATGGTCGTAGGCCGGGACAAGGAAGAAACCGAGTAACTACTCCGATTCAGGATCGATTTTTAAGACTGTCAGCCTTAAGACAACGTTTTGTAACAGCTCGGACCCTTCAAACCCAGCTTCGGGATACTAATGGTTTAGAAGTTTGCACTATGGTTTCTAGAAAGGAATTTTTTGGCCAAAAGTGATTTTTTCAACTCTTAGTAAATACATTTTTAAGTCGATATATTAAAAATTAATACTCCAGAGCTCACGAATCCTAAATGGGAATTTTATTTGAGCGCCCCTTCTACCTAACTCAGGTAACAACAAGTTGTAGTTTCTGTCCGTGGTCAGTTACGGTAAAGCAGTCACCGAGCGTAGACAAACTTTAAAGCTGAGCTGTTTTTGTAATTTTTAAAAATTGGATTTTCAGTGACTTGTGGTATTATTGTTAAGGTATGTACTTTTATTTGTTATAAACAAAAATACGTAATTCTTCACCCCAGTTTTTTAAATTAATTAATACATAAATAGTGTATATTTATTTTAAAAATTGTAAACTCCAAGATTTAGGTAGACTTATAAAAATTTGGCTGAGTTTGGCCAAGATATTTTTACTACGATAACATTCCGTCTTTATCAGTGATTGTTATTCAATATAATTTTTTTGCTACTAACTGCTACCCTTTCTAAAAAAAAATTTTTTTTTAGCCATGCACCGTTTTAAAATTGAAGACTGTTTTGAACTGTGGCTAAAAGAAAGAGACAAAGGCGATAAATTTTCTGCTATTTATCTTCATATTATAGAGGAAGTAGGAGAAGAGATAAATTCATCTAATACACAAAAAATTAAAGAAAAAATTAATCGTTTATGTCGCAGTTTTGATGAAAGATGGACTAAAGCGTTGCGGAACAAGGAATATTTTAAGAAAAAAAATTCGAATTGGCTAAAAAGTGATTTTAGTATTGAAATAAATGAACCTATGCCATCTACATCTTTCGGCCGTCCCACAATTCCGTTTTCTGAAAAATCGAATCGATCAAAAAGAAGAGAAGCCTCGCAGTTATCACATGAAAAACAACATGAGTCATCATTAATAGTACAAGCTGCAAGTATGGCGGCACGA